ACAAGTATCTATATTCTCATGCATGTGTAATGTTGTTAATGAGGAATCTTTTATTTTATTCTAAAAAACGTATAATATAATTATGGATCCAGATAGATCCAGGGGTCCAACCACAGACATAGGTCCAACTGAATAAATGGGTACAACCTTTCCAGCGGGGAGCGAATAGCGCCCTCATTAGCGTATTTTTGTGTGCACGTGTGCTCGTGTGCTCGTCGTCTGGTGTTCATATACACGTACATATGTACACTGTACATGTACATATACATGTGAAATTTTTACGTGTAGGTTAAGCCCGCCTGATCGCGTGATGGTGAAGCTTTGAAACTGTTGTGACTGTTTTGCGTCAAAAATGCCGACTGGGAGCCAGATATTCGTTGGTTTTCGTGCACTGGGGTTTCATTGCAATCATGTACCACTTGCAATCCGTTATCATCAGAGACATAAAGATCATTACGTGGTAACAGCGGTTGGGAAATCCTTCCACACGTACAACGTGAGTTTACAATGACATGGTTGACCTTGCCTCATCATTATGATGATTAGCCTAATGATTGCATTTCCGACATCCGTGATTAGTCGGTGCCTGTGTAATGTTACATGCGTTTGTTTACAAATGTGCACCCCAGCTTTTTAAATTTTTAGAAAGATTTTGTTTCAAGAAATAATAATTACATCTGGCAATAGCCTACATCATCCATGCAGTTTGGCCTACTAGTACTACTCAGGTCAGAATCTGCCTGCTCACGTATGTACTCACGCCAAACCACTGTATTTTCCTTTGTACACATAGGTCCAAGGCCCCAAATGCCAGTCATGCTATTAAGCATCAACAAGTGTCAATACATACAAGCAGCATCGACAAAGCATCAACAGCTTGATAAATAAATACACATGTATGATGATGTACCGCATACCGAGTACTTTCTTTCCTACAGTGTATGTCATGTGTACTCGCCTATTAGGTACCTCCAGAACTGTGAGGTCCGACATCCGCTCTGCTCTCATGAACGAGCGGACGTCGGACCCCACAGTTCGGGGGTTACCTATGAAGTACTTTTTGTAAAAAAAAAGAAAAACTTTAAGGGGGGATGTGTAGGCTGGTAGGCCTAGCAACACCAAACACAGACTCTTGCAAGTCCAGTGTGTCATGATGAGTGCTGTGCAACTGTCAAGCTCTTACATGCTGTGCCTATTACTTATTAGTCTTTTAGAGGCATGGCAAACACAATAAGACAGATTACAGTTTTGGGTGCAAGAGGAATTGTTTGATAGAAATTGGATAAACAAACCCACGTGGCGTAGCCAGCGGTATGGTAAAGCATAGACCTGCCGTACAAATAATTGAGGTTTAATTTATTTTCAACTTTCTGCAGATAACATGACTTTTTTTACAAGAAATATTTAGGGGATTCTTTTAGTCATCCTTCATACACATCGCAAAACTGCCCAGGCACACCGTAGAGCGTCTTGTACTTTGAAATAAAATCCAAACCAGAACACAGGGTTTCCCCAGGAGTACTGATATGTGTGAGGTGATCCAACAAATTTTAGTGCCTAAAACAAAAGTGTATGTTTTCAACAAGGCCTAAAATAAATTCTATGTAGTCCACTGGCACAAAATTCACTCAAACTTTTCACTCTAAAATAGATCGATCTTGTGTTCTGTGTTCGATCCATACCATTCTGAATAATGTACATCTGATCTGTTGCAAAATGTCAAAGTTCTTTGGCTTTTTCCCTCCATGTTTGATATTTGAAGTGTGAGGTGATAATATGCAAGAGAAAAGCCTTAGGTGGTCACTCAAATGAGTGAGGTGAATGGGCACTAACGCCCAGTCAAAAAAACTACCAGGTGTGAACATGTGCATTGCTCTGGAGCGGAATGGTTTGTTATCCAAAAAAGGGTCGTCAAGGCCAGTTGGCGCATGCGCAAGCGAAATACCGAATTGACTTATAGGAGGGCACTATTTGGCTTGGGTAAAGTCTTTTGTGTTTGCTCTAAATGAACCACTTCAGTAGCTCCCTCCTATTGTTTCTGCCATGCTTCTAAAAGGCTAATTGTAAGCTCATTCTCCCAGTATTCAAATGAAATTCTGGACCAATCAGTAATTGACTTTCTGAATGAGACCTCCATACATGTAAATCAAATCAATCGATTCAACAAAAGTCTCCCAAATCAAAGTGCTACGTAGTCTTTGTTCGTGTTCAAAACCTTACCCTCTCTCCCTAAAATATGAATTTATTAAAATAATATCCAACAAATGTTATATATTATCTTCTTTTGCATGCACATACACGTACATCCAGGTGAGTCCAAAAATGACACGTACATGTACATGCTGGAATGAACAACCCCCTAATTCCGTTCTGAGTGATTCTCATTTGGAGCTTTTCAGAGCATTCATCCAGATCCAGATGTGTTTTTTTGTTGTAGCCGGAACCCACAAAACAATAGGCCTATGCACAGAGACAGTTAAATTTTCTCAAGTTACCAAAACATTTACATGTATGAGTGATTGTTACTCTTCATGGATTTTCTTCTCTGTCTTTTTGTCTTTCCCACACCTCTCTCCAGTGTTCAAAGCTAGGAATTGTTAGCGTCAGTAAGTATTCTCTGGTCGTTGTTACTATGTGTAATTGATGTAAATTGTGAAGAACGTGAAGAATAGCCTTCTGATCTGCCAGAAAGTTTCTGTGCAAACGAAATCTTTAGAAGTTGATAAATGTGTTATAAAGAATTCCTTTTTGAAGTCTTTATTTTTTTCTGGTGGTGGCTAGATTACTAAGGTTATATGTCACTATCGCTGGGGTTCATGGTACATTGTATTTGCCCTATCTCACTTTTCAGTTGCTGAAACATGGAATATCACCTATTTTGGGATATCGCAAGCCTCAGGGCAGCTCTCGCACTGATTCCTAATTTTAGGATTCTTACCTTTTTTATTTGCTCAATTTATCCTCTTAAATAAGGCAATGCTTATCCCGGCGTCATCAGGTGTGTAGCAGCTGATGCCTTTCTTGTGTTTACCGCTTGTCAGAATATAGTGAGGGCTTTCACCCATGGAAGACAGGTAATTACATTGTCCTTGTAATGCATTGTACCTTAGTAGAAAAGAAAGCAAGGCTAGAGAAGTAGAGTAAATGTCTGCCGCCTCCTCTTCTGACAAGATTTTTTTTTTTTACAGTGCTGGTGAAATAAAATTTATACAGACTTATGAAATATCGTAAACTGCGTTGTGATATCGCAAAGCTGCACAAAAGCTGAGGTTGTAGGCAGCTTGAGCCAATTTCATAGAGCTGCTTAAGCATAAAAATGGTTTAAGCTGGAAAAATCTTTGCTTAATAAACTTTATCTGATTGTTATGCTAACATGGAGTTTTGGCCGGTTACCTGATTTATCAGGTAAGGTTTTGTGCTTAAGTAGCTCTATGAAATTGGCCCCAGGCCTTCACACAAGAATAATTTTGGCACTTTCTCTTATTGTTTTTACCCCCAATGGCATCTTTTCTGAATATGGTACTCTCAGATGGACTCCAAATTTCTAATCAAAACAAGTTCCACCTTTACCACTCAGGTTCTGTACACTTATTCTGGGCATGGCAAGGATGTCCATCTTCTCTTGCCATTTGGAGATCATCTCGTCTCGGTGGATGAAGACAGCCTACTGAAAATATGGGACATCAAGTCAACAGGTGGGAATAAGAAGGGGGAAAAATCACCTTGCACCCAATCGATGACCTTTTGATCTCTCAGGAATCGTGCCCGTATGCATTGATACATGTAATATCCGCTCGTCGAAGAAAGACACAAGCAGATGAATGTAGAGTTGAAAGTTGAGTGGCTGTGGTTAAAACTGCGTTATGAGAAGAATTTCTATGTTGATTTCCACTTGGCCAGTAGACAGCATTTGGGCCAATCCAGTCTGCCCAGTTACTCCACAGTTAGGCTAATTGAACCTCACTCTGGGGTCCCATTTTACAGAGCTGCTGAGTATAAAAACATGGTTTGAGGGTGGACAGTCAATGTTCGTTCCCCTCGGTAAAAATATAATAGTCCCGAGGAACAGTTTACCTTGCTGGCACATTTGAGTTACGCGCAGATCCTGGGATACATACTTGACTAGTGAGAATTCGGCTCTGGAATCATGAATTGTTAAATATGTGTGATGTGTGGTAACTTGGAATGTTTGCTTCAGCAGCAAATATATGGGCAAAAAGCCGGCCAGAAACCAATCATACGAAATATTTACAGTGCGTGGCATGGGCAGGTATTTCTTCTGCTAAGCAAATTTCTGTGCTTAGCGGGCCTACAGAGTAGCCTCGGGGTCCTACTGCAACCGGATTGACTGCAGTCATCTGCATTGCATGTATCTTCATTGACCTGTACACAGAGAATCATAAAACATTTTGTTAAACAGTTGGTGAACTGAGTTTACCTGTTTGCATTTAGTCCAGGGGTGTTAACCCCTCAGGTGGTCACACCATTATGCAGTGTATAATATGTCTCGTTATTTTCTTTCTCTTGTGACTTCTTTAGAGATTTATCTGGAGATTCAGTTTGATAATCACGTCTTTGAAGTGACAGCGCTCATGCACCCCACCACCTACCTCAATAAGATCCTTGTGGGGAGCAGACAGGGCACCATGCAGATCTGGAACATTAAATCCAAGTAAGGAACACGAGAGGGTTCGTCTTCTTGGAGTCTGAATCTTATGCTCTATAATCTGAATTAGGAATTGCTGGCTTCCATTTGAAGGCTAAGAGTGTAACATTGATGAAATCGACTCTCACGACGCATTGCAATGGTCACAAATGTCCTACTGGTTTCCTTCCACAGCAAGCTTGTGTACAGTTTTTCTGGCTGGGGTTCCTCTGTCACAGTCCTGGAGCAGGTAAGTCAAAGAGTCAGCCCTTGATCTCAACCTTGCCAAGTTCTCCAAACTCCTCCTCGCATAAGTGGAAGATTTTAAGAGATTGAGGCTTTTGTGTGTGGCAAACATGTGGCTGATTCTGAAGGATGCATTGTGCCAAGGTCATGGGAAAACCAAATGTCGTTTATGCTAGACCAGGCAATAAATTCAGGTCTACGTAGATCACACACGTACATGTATGTGAAATCATCGCCCTGCCTCGAAATGACAGGAGTCGTCAGAGGATTGTGAAGGACTGAGGCAGTGGCCTCACCTCCAAGGAGCATAATCAAGAAGTTACGAGGGATTCTGGAGGATTCAGGTTGTGTCAATTTTTTCATGGAGGAAGTGAGAGGACTTTGCAGGATTTAAGTTGCATCGTTGCAAAAGAAATGCCAAAATGCCAAGGAAGTTAAGGTCAGTCGAGGTTTCAATGCCTGGGCTTAGACATAAATTGATAGCATTGGCCTGGGCTGGGTTCAACTTGTGGGAGGCCGTGAATGGGAGAAGTACATGTGTATAGGTCCCGTGCATGCCATATGTGAGCACTAAGGCTTCCGTTCACAAACGGACATTTGCCATTATCTTTAAGCAGATTGATTTTACAGCAACTGACAATTAAAGTTCATATTACGTGGAGCATGAGAAAGGTGCAGTACATCTGGGTCCAATGTTCAATGAGGCCTGGAGCGATAGGGGACCCAGGCGCAAAAACATCTGTGGGAGGCCAGCTAAAACATTGCATGCCTCAGGCCACAGAATTGCTCTTTCAGTTCAGCTTGAAGTTTTAAAACCCACTCCATTAGTGGTGCAAATCAAAAAGATAAGAAGCCCACATAACGCACCTCAAACTGGCGCAGTTTTGATGAGTCGTGTTCAGCTCACTGTGCCATTTTATACTGTCCCAAATTTGTCAAAATCCATCAGGAGGTTCAGGATTTTTTTGTGTGTTTTCTGAGAGATCAGGCGGAATTACTTGGCAGCTGCCTGAAATTCCATAGGATTCTATGGTCATGGTAATGGTCATGGCCGCAGCTAGTTCCCAGAGTTGTCTATAATTTCTAGCCGCAGCCAAGTGATTTGGTCGCAGCCTTATCCACATATCTTCTGAGTTGCAGTTGACACCTCAATCTGCCCCGAGCTGAAGTGCAGCCCCAATTTGCGAAAGAAAGACAGTTGATTACAAGTGGGTTTTTGCACGCGTTCTGCGTGTACGCAAATACCATACATGCCGCAATAAATTAGTAACGCGTACTCAGCGTGCTCCATGCCAAACACACATATATTTGGCGCGCCTATGCGGCGAATACCAAAAAAACATGCCCTCTTTTGTTCTGCTCGGAGCAGATGAAAGTGAATTATGCATCCTCGGCAGTGATGTGATATTTGACCATTAGTATGAATGGTTGCTTCTTTTTGATGGGTATCTTATCTTAGGCTCCGGCGGTGGATGTGGTGGCCGTAGGCCTGGAGGACGGCAGAATCATTGTCCATAACTTGAAGTATGATGAGACCATCGTCACGTTCACCCAAGAGTGGGGCCCAGTAACAGCGATCTCTTTCAGGACGGGTAAGGACTCGTGTCACCGAGGCCTACAGTGTACTTTCTTTTTGAAGAAAGAGCATGACTTAAATAAACTTATGATTTTGATAGGTAAAGACCACCAGGGACCAGTCTTACTTCCCAGGAACTCAGAAACATAACATGAGTTGCCGCACTGCATTTGGATCTTTTGTGGAATGAGGCAGGTTTGTTGCACAAATGCTGAAGGCTGTTCCTGTAATAGATCATCCTCAACCCTACATAACTGTCACCGTATTTTGCCAAGAAACCTTCTGATCCCATCAAATTCTTAACACTCTGCAAACAGTAAATTTTGCTGACTACAAGGATTCCCATTTGTTAAGCCGACTTTCTTTGAATCTTACTTAACAGTGCCCTCCAATTGTTACGTGTTTACAGGACTGAGTACATGTATTTTTAATTTTAAAATGCACCAACATGGTCTTCACATGGGCACTGGGAACATTCCATTCATTTCAGTTCAAGAGACACTCTTTCCGTACCTTGCAAGTAGGAAATGTATGTGGAAGGAGACTGTTCATGCACCCACTGTATACTTAAATAATCAAGTTCGAAAGATTGTTAGTGGGTCAGAAAAGGCTAGTGTATTCAGTGTAGCAAAATAGAGGTGCGGCGGGATCTCAAGGATGAGAGATTTCATTTATGGACGATCATGAATGATGTAGTGGCTCTCAATTCCCAATTCTCAACCTGGCCGGTCACTTTGACATCTTGAAAGGATATTCCTCATGTGGACCTGTGAATAAATGATGTCCACACAGCTCATGCTGCCACTTGAGACAATGTGTGGGACTCACACAACATGTGGTCCCCTCTCTCTGAAAAGGAAAATAGTTTCTTGAAGAGGACCCATGAAGGAATGCATCAATAGAACGAGCTCAGAGTGCTCACAGTGTGAGGAACTTGAGCATTTTCACTGAGATTTCCTGCTGTCCTGAAACAAGATTGTCCATGCTGGGTTTATGATATTAGCGAGTGTGGACAGACCAGCTTTAACCACTAGCACATGCAGATTTATCTCTCTGCTTCTCAGATGGTCACCCAATCATGGCAACTGGCAGCGCTGTGGGGCACATCGCCCTCTGGAACCTGGAAGAGAAGTGCCTTCAAGCACAGATGAGAGATGCGCACAAGTCAGGTGTTGCTGGCATGAAGTTTCTCTCGTCCGAACCGGTCATGGTCACCAACTCGTCTGACAATGCCCTCAAGGTGGGCAGGAAATCTCTTTGAACCCTCTTAAGCTGTCTGTCTGATATCTCTGGGTATATAGTAATAAAACTGAGGGTATTCAATATCTGTTGAACCCCTTTGTCGTAACAGTGAATGAAAACATGTAGTTTACTCAAGGTGTTTTCCATTTTCACATTGTGTATTGCCTTTGAGCTGAGTGAAAATTTGTACATAAATGTGTGAACATTTTCTGGCACTGTTCTCTTTAACCCCTTCATGGGGGGTTATTTTGACCGTGACTGCTGGGCTGTGGTATGCCCTAAATGGAGGGCTTTGTCCAGCAGCAGGCCCCATTGAACCAGTTGAACCAACAGCTGCATGGTGAATAGACTGTATGTGTGGTATGCACTAATCCTCATACAATGGTGCTGTAGTAGCAGTCCTCCATAGCGAAGGGGTTAAAATGCTATGGCTCCTTGTAGAGTGTGTCCCACCATGGTTCATTAACAAGTCTCTGCCAGTCATGTTACTAGCATCCACACTTGGCCCAACTGACAGAGTGAAAACCTGCTGGAAGAACATTGTTAAAAAAAATTTCCAACTGAATGTGCATGCCAGCACTGTAATTCTTAAATAATGATGGATTCAATAATTAAAAGCAAAGGACAGATTTCTGAATTTGTCGGTTTTGTGCGGTTCTTATCTCTATCCAGATGTGGATTTTTGATCAGTCGGATGGCAGTGGGCGTTTGCTCCGTTTCCGAGCAGGCCACAGTGCACCCCCTGCTAAGATAAGGTTCTACGGTCAACGAGGAAAGGACATTCTCAGTGCTGGTAAGATTTGGCACTGAGTTGAACATGCTGATATGCAGTCAGTTCACATTATAACAAGGTTGACAGGACTAGCTAAATTACCATATTTTAACAAGAACCTTGACAAAAAGTTTGAAAAATTTCGAAGAGACCGGGAACTTGTCACATTTTGTTGTGAGAGCCCTCTATATGTGGAGAGTTTGGGACATGAAAAGTTCACTTCATCCATTCACTTTACAATTCTCTGAAAGCACATTACCCACCGACTTAGCTATACATGCATGGGTTAACCAACTCCAAATTGTACCAGATTCATTGCATTACCTGTTGTTGAGAACTGTGAGATAGTCATCTCATTTCTTCCATCATTTGAAGAATTTCACCGCTCATGATATCCGCATGTGTTGTCAATATTTTTGCAATATGTATTCAATGCTTGTAGCAGCTGTTTTCAATGTCGGGGTTTTGCAGTCACGATCAACTTTCACTGTCCCAGTTTGCACTTAAAAACCATTTGCCATCACGATTTCCCCCCCTTGGTATTCCAAGTTTGCTCCTAAAATGAACTTCTCCAGCCTGGTTTATTCTGTCACTTTGCCCATTCCCCCATTGGTAATGCCCATTGAAAGGCACGTCTGTATATCCAAGATAGGAAGGTCCTACATTGCACATAGTACACTTGTGCTGCAGGTCAAGACAGTACCCTAAAATCCTTCTCCACAATGCACGAGAAGCACAACAAGGACCTGGGCCAGGCCAACCTGAAGAAGAAGCTGGGCAGCAGGAAGGGCGTGCTCAAGCAAAGATTCAAGATGGCACCCATCACCCAGTTTGCGGCAGGTTGGTTAGTCTCCTCTCCCGTCTCTCAGTCAACTTCTCTCCAGCCCGTTGGTCTCCTCTCGAGACCATCGTAGTCATTGTCCATTCCTTTAACCACTTCATGCCGGAGTATTTTTCAATGTTGATGGTGCTGGGCTGGCATGACTATCATTTTTTCCGTTTTCAAAATCCTTCAAAAATTCATCATTTCCTTCAATGGTCTTTTATAGCCTCACGAAGTGACCTTCATTGACGCCCGAGTATTTCAGCCAGGCCTGCATCCTTGTAAACAGAGCCCAGATTGTGCATTGTTATATAACTTTCTTTTGTTCACGAACCTGGCTCAGTGCACTGCTGACCTCTTTTCAATAGGGGCCAGATTAGCGTGCAGCGGTGCTGTGTGGTGGAGTGCTTTTGTCCCCGGTGGTAATCCGCTCGCTCTCAATGCCCTAAACCCTGGGATACGGGTTTCAAAACAAGGCTGGATTATCACCACTTTTGAGAGTGAAAGTGTCGTTAATGCCCAGCAGCCTGGTCTTTTGTTTGGAGTACAGTCTTTTGTTACAGGGCCCTGTTTCCTTTGTCCAAGTTCGGAGACCCCGGCCACGCATATAAACCATATGTCTCCGATTACGGAGTCCCCGGCAGGAAGTGGTTAAACTGACTTTTTTTCAAATTTTAATGTGCTTTTTAGCAAGGTGTAAATGAGCTGATCTGATTTTGTGTCTTTTCTGTGATATCGCATCATGCATCAAAGATAATTTGTTATTTTGGTCAACAGAAAAAAGTCGAGAGAGTGACTGGGATAGCATTGCTGCCTGTCACCAAGGCACTGCCATGGTAACCACGTGGAACTACCAGCAAAGCACTATGGGTAAACACAAGCTGACTTGCACGCACGCTGCCCAGGCCACAGACGTGGAGGCCACAGTGAGAATTTCTCTTTTCTTTCTACCATTTCAGGTGTTGATTCACAGGCATAAAGGAAATTCCATTCTATTTTAACCTCCCAAGTTACGCCCCAGGGTGGGACTCTGTGGCGAAATGGTGCATCTCACTGCAAGGAACTTAACCACTTCACGGCAGGATTATTTTGACCGCGACTGCTGGGCTGAGGTATGCCTCGAATGGAGGGCTTTGTCCAGCAGCAGGCCCCATTGAACCAGCACCTGCATGGTGAATAGACTGTATGTGTGGTATGCACTAATCCTCACACAACGGTGCGATAGTAGCAGTCCTCCGTAGCGAAGGGGTTAAAGAAGCACTGGTCAAACCGTCAACTTTATTGTGACCCCCTTTCTCCAAATGACCCCAAAATTGACCTACATTATTTTACCAAAATAGAGCCCTTGAATGTAATTATGTGTACACATGGGCGCCGCCTAGACCCTAGTCACACTGCTGTACCCCAGGGTCATGCTTCATGTTTAGACTGAGCAATTGAAGTGCAAGTTGTTTTTCACGGTTTGTAACACCCATGCTGTGTCCTGACAAATAAGGAATCTGTTACCATTTTGTCTCTTTGGTAAGCAGGCTCGTGCACTCCATGGACCTTTCAGAATTACTCAACCAGCTGCAACTGCGACTAACTCGTGCTTGCGTGGAGGGCGTTAGCAAGTGGTCGCTGTCATTTGGCTTTAGGCCAGCGTGTTACTCACAGCTGTTGCCTAGTGATTCGGATGCCAGTGAAGGGATTATAAAAGCCCGAGCATATGGCCCATTGGCAACGCTTGTGGATACATTTTTCTCCTCAAGTAGGGGTATTGGATGGTGTTGGATTTTGTTTGAGTGGGATCAGATAGGAGTCCTCGTGGGGAGTGACAGAGTGGCTTGTGGTGCCTTGTGCTGCTCCATGCTTGATGTCGTCAGGTTTGGTACCACTCTTGTGCAAGTCAGCCCAATGGAATACCGAAGTGAATACGTCACATGCATGATTATGTGTGAAAGGCATAAGTTCGAGAACCAGCGCATGAACCAACACACTCTATTCATTTGCAATAGAGGGATTTCACATTAGCTCCGTCTGCGCATATTCGCAGGCTCTCTGTGTTGATCTTTGTCACGTGTGCACTTGAAGTCCACACGGTACATGTAGTATTCAGTTCGTAATTGTGACGTCATTTCAGTTTAAACCATGCCCACTGCACATGCAGATACACGACCATCGCAGGTACGTTTGTTCGTGGTAAATTGCCGTTATTTTTTCTTTTGATTTTACATGTCAAGTCATCCTGAAAGACTCTTCCACAAAAGTTTGCAGCCTGAAAAGTCTGAATTTAACATACCTTTGTGTATTTTGTTTCTTGACTCCTTACTTTCAATCGTCTGATCGTATTAAGAGTTGAAGCTGGCACATGCAGCCTTGTTTTCAAACGAGGAAGTGTGCAGATCGGCGCTAAGAGCGTCGTATTGGGATCCTTCTATACACTCTCTGGTTCACAGTGAAGTCACACTTAGGTACTCTATACCACATAGACCTGATCCATACCAAATGACTCAAACTTCAGCAGTGTTGACTTATTAAAGTTCAACTGGTTTGTCCGTTCATGTGCCGTAATTACAGTGACCTGCTTGTATTTGTTGATATTTGTTTGCTTCATATATACCATTTCTAGTCACCAGCCAAGAGACAATTTACAAGAGAAACTGACCCATTGAACAACCACTGTCCTTCAAGGATTCATTATCGTCTTGCCTTCCCTCTTTAGAAATTCTCCTTGTGGACAAAAACAGGAGTTAATCTGAAACACTGCATAATGTATAGTTTCTAGACACGTTCATTTGGAGGTGATCAATGCATCAAAATTGGAGGCTGAATCTCTCATTACTTTCTTCTGTAGATTGTTTTCGGCACGTTGTGAATCTTAATGCTGCTGCCTCTAATGAATCACAAAATAAGATTTCCGAACAATACAGAGGTGTACATGTTGTGGCTCCTTGAAACCTTCCCAGAAGTCATAGAATATATTAAGCTCTCACTCTCAAAAATTCAAAGATTTTTAATGACTGAAATATGTTTCTGCACTTTTGAATACTTGCAGGCATTTTTGCACATACTCTGTTCATGACTTTGATAACAACTATGCTCAAGCATTCTTCGCAAAATTCTAAACTACAAATTTTGCCTAAATTTTCATTTCTAAATTTTAAGGTTTTTGTATAGTGAGAGTTTTTTTCATAATTGAATTGTACTCTGTTTTGTTTTTGAAGGCGATTGACATCACTTCATGTGGTAACTTTGTTGTGATTGGTTGGAGTACTGGTCATGTGGACACCTACAACATCCAATCAGGGATTCACAGGGGTTCCTTTGGCAACCCAAAAGGTAAATTATGATGAAATACATGTATTGTTCTAATCAATTTGTATTTCGCCTGCGTAAAGCATTGTAAGAGAAAGTTGTAACAAAAGATTTTGAATGCTGGTGAATTCAGGGGGGTTAGTGTAAATATATTTGAGCAATACAGTACACAATTCATGTCAGTTTACCACTAACGCTGTTCCACATTTATTCTACATTGCTTTAACAACAAACCCATACTCCAGTCTTCAATTTCGTTGAACAGAAAACTTGTCTAAGCTTGCGCCTTCAGTATAACGTACTTAAGGCCTTCTGAAACAAATTATAATCATAGTCATAATAGTGTTCTTTAAGTTTTGGGGTTCTGGATATGTTGAAAATGATTTGTACGACTGAGTCAAATGGTTGAGGGATTTATTCTGTATAAATAAGCTATGGTGCATATTAGTTTTGATTTTAAATGTGCTTAAAATGAATAATGTGAATTCATTAGTTGATTCTACTAAAGGGGAAAAAGTTTCAACTGCAGTTTTTGCCGTCCCTTTTTTTCCAGCTCACGAGGGCGCTATCCGGGGCCTTGCCGTGGACGCTCTCAATCAAGTGGTCATCACCGGCTCACTGGACTCCAAGCTGAAGTTCTGGAAGTTCAAGTTGCGGAAGCAGCTGGACAGTCTGGCGCTAGATGCACCTGTGAATCAGATCTTACTGCACCGAGACAGGTGCTAGATTTTGATTGGCTTTGTGTATTAGAGCAGTGTAAATCCTGAGGGGGGGAGCCTCTTAGGCTGTGCTTGTATTAAAGGGCCCATGCAGTATCATTTTGAATGCAGCTTTTAGAAATGTTCCTTTGCGTCCCATTTAACCTAATTTACAATTTTTTCTGTACCACTTTGAATGACTATTCATCCCTTTTGGATGCCAATTTACATATCTATGAGTACTGTTGGGATGTGGTCCAAGTCTGAAGACTGTTACAACTGTGTGAGTGCTTAAGTTTAGCAGAAGTTTTGCTAGGTTGGCTGTGATACTTTTCTGTTTACTCTGATGGTCCAGTTTTGTTTCACTTCTTGACAGTCGTGCAGTGTGCAGAGTTTTGTCACAAGTTCATGTATGTTCAGTTAGCAAAGATTTGGTAAACAATTTGAACATTGAACCCCTAAAATCGACCTGCAGTGGCCTGCAGAGCTGTGTATGGAGAGAGTTGTGATGTACGTGTCACAGTTGTTGGAAATAAACTGGCAAGCGTTTGCGCCAGTGCGCTTGGACAGTACTGTACTGTACACATAAGGAACAGCCGTTTCGTTTCCAAAATCTGAAGCTGGCACTTGATGACATCACAGCAATGGCACCTTCATTTACCTGGAAAAGCATGGCAAATTGAAGTGTTTAAAGCACTGTTTTCAACGATAGTAATTTAAAAGATATGTCATATAGTTTTTAACATTTCAGAGGAGTAGAACACTGCTCAAAACTCGTTCCCATGTAAAGTTCACAGCATGCGTCCTTAATAATGGACTGTGACTAGGAAGACATACACCCATGGAAAGTAGCCACACACCCATAGAAAGTAGCCACAGCCACTTGCCAGTGGTTTTCATTGGGTCAGGTGTCAGTGAGAGCAACAGCTGTATTTTTGGACATAGCCCCACGTTACCTCAGAAAATGGTTGTTTGTTGGCTGGAGGAAATTCTGGTGTATTGAGATTTCACTTTTGCATTTTCATTTCCGATCTCCTGTTGGCCTTTGACCTCTTGTATTTTCTTGATTACTTGTTCTGCAGTTCCATGCTTGCAGTCAGCTTGGATGACTTTGTGGTTGTGGTCATAGATGCTGATCTCCGAAGAGTTGTACGAAGGTTCAAAGGTCATCTAAATAGAATAACAGATATGGTTAGTTGAGTTGTTGCAGTGAACATGAAGAGTTCCACACATACCTGTAACAAGTATTACCCTTTTAATTTCTTTTGGATTTTGTATTAGTTCAGAGATATTTTTGCAATTTATTCTAATTTGCAGTTGTAAATTTACTAAACAAGTGTTGAAATATTAATAATATGCTCCACAAAAAGAGAAGTAGCACCCTTTTTCATGTTAATTAGCTCATGAATATTCATACTCATATTGCTGATTATAGGCTTTCAGTCAGGACGCGAGGTGGCTTGTGACGTCATCGATGGACTCAACCATTCGAACGTGGGACCTCCCATCGAGCAGGTAAGAGAAACTCTGGTCATCCCCCCCCCAAAAGGAGTGGTTGGATAGGATTTCACCAACTGAGGGAGGTGTATCCTACTTCCACTCTCTGCATAACCATTTTAGGCTGCTGTGGTGCCTATCCACCACCATAACCACATGTATGGGGGTTTTCTTGCCAAATCTTGGCATCTGTAGGTCTCCATTTTCAGCTTCATCTTGAGCCCTCCATCAGTTTGTAAATGTTCACTGTTGGAATCAAATGGAGAGCTTAGGCATCTTGTTTATCGACAATTCGACCAATTCTTTACTGCGAGAGTAGGATCTAACACCAGTCCCCAAGGGCGTATGTAAAATCATATTGGAATCAGAGGATTGAGGACTGTTAGGTTTAATAAACAAAACTGGAGACAAAGAAGGCGAACATGGAAAAAACTGAGGGTTGGGAAAACCTCAGCGTCAGTTGTAAGAATTTGCACTTGTAGTATTTGAGCTTTATCATTGTGTCATCTTTAAGGTGAAGGCTTGGCACAGCTTATGCATAGTCCAGCTCAGATGCTGTGTCAATCGAGTTTTTTTGTGAAAGAAAATTTTAAATAGTTCTATAAAGAAATTTGAAATAGTGTAATGTTATTACACTGTAAGTAGTGGGTAGACTACATGTATATGCTTAGCTGTATGACAAGTAAAAAATCACACTTCTCTTGATATTTAAACCAGATTACTGGATAGCTTTCTCGTGGAAGATGCAGCAACAAGCCTGACCCTGTCCCCTACCGGAGACTTTCTCGCTACTGCCCATGTCGATGATCTCGGTGTTTATTTGTGGTAAGGTTGTGGAGCATAATGCTACGTAGCTTTAACTGTCAGACAGCATAAAGTGACCTTAACTATGAAAAACCATTTCACTGTAACATGAACCAACTTTCCTAGCAAACGTTAATTTCTTGATTATTTGTTCCCAACATCTGTAGCATGTATCCCGGTTCAAGGACAGTGTGAATAAGCAACTATTCCATTAACTTTCTCTCATCCATCTTTTTTCTCGGTTTCCATTTTCCGGTAACCCTCGTCCAGAGTGGTCACTGACGGCTCTGTGTTGGTTAAATTGTACTGAGCAAAATAAAATCAAACTTTGTTCTGGAAATTTATACTACAGAGTGAACAGGAAGATTTGAAAATACAGCAACAAAGCAACAATAAGCATAACATTTTTCTCAACACCCTGTTGGTACCATCTTGTCTAAACTATCTAGTTACCAGTGACCTAGAAAATAATGTACAATTTTTTTTCTAAGTTTTTTTCTTTATGTGTCCTTCAGGTCCAATAAAACCCTGTATACACATCTACCTATCCGGCCTCTGCCAGACACCTACGAACCCAGCACAGTGGCCCAGCCGGGTACCAGCTTGGAACCAGAGGGTGAGTTTATTTCGACCCAGTCAGGCCTGTACCTGGGTTATCATTTGTCCTTGCCAAGCACCTTTGCAATTGAGTTGCTTCAATAACAGTGGCTGAGTAGGTGGGAATGCAGTGCTGGTGGTGTTCGGAACCTAGAGTTTGTCAGTGCAAAGTTCTGGGTGTGTAATGCGATTTCTGAAGGTCATTAACCAAACAAGAGTCGCCTGGAAAAATTCACCGGTTTTGTGTCACAGTAAGGCATGCAACAACTGTGGTTCTGATCAAATAAGGATTTATTTAGAGAAAAATTTGTGGACAGATTGGGTTGAGAAAGAGCAAATCCAAAATGAAAGAAAAATATCAGCAGAGTTGTCTTTGCTTCTGTGAAAATTGTTCATTCAAATTGACGTGTCTGTCTTGCCAGCTCACGCCATATTTGTCGAATCTGTCCATATGTTCAGCCTTTTGATAAGCTGCAGTCTGGGAGTGATGGGTTTGTTTGATTCTTAGTTCTTTTTCTCTGAATGTGATTTCATTTTAGCTATTTTCTGAAGGAATCGGCAGTCTGCAAACCATGTCCTCACCTGTCTTTTCAGTGATTCGTGCAGAGTGCAATTTTTTTAGTTCAGGTTTGAACCTGTCATATTTCAGATGCTCTGTAGTTGGGTCATTCCATGAGGTTGGGGTGCAATTTGTGACGGTGTCAATTGTTACATGGGTTCCGTAAAAATGAACAGCTATTTTCCTGCATGTGGATTCCAAATTGACGTTGTTATACATCTTGCAAGGCTGAATACAAAGGTGTGTGTTATTTTTACAAAGTAAATGACCTACTCTACAGGTCATGACAGACGGTAAAAGGACACCGTCACAAATTGGCCCCAACCTCATGGAATGACCCAGTTGCAGAATGTTACTTCAAGTTTTGAGGAAAAACAATATTTTTTATGCTGGACAGAAATACATGAGATTGATTCTGACGAGGATCGGTCAGTTGACCTGGGGCCTGGTGACCTGGTGTCCGAGTTCAAATCGCCTCAGCAGATCTCGGCCGAACTGGTCACGCTGTCCCTCCTGCCCAACTCCAGATGGAAGAGTCTGACCAATTTAGAACTCATCAAGGTAAAGACTCTTCGCTCTTGTCTTTGAAACATAGGCCGTGTCCAAAACGGGCTTCCAGAGCTACGGCTAGGTCTATTGTCTACGCGTCTCCACGCATTTGCAATGGAGCGAAGACCTAGACCTAGCTCTGGACAAGAGATTCGGATGCAGCCCTAGCCTTCTTCGCAAAGTTAAAGAGCCCAGCCAGGTTGAAAAGTGAGGCCACTGAACTTGTTTGTACCTAAAATTGCAAAAAAGAACTATACGGCAAACACACAATCCACAGCCTGAACAGTTAAGAAACAGCCAGTTGACACTATTAGTTCTCGATGCTGGCACGTTGAGACGTCTACTCCGATAAGCATCGGGGTATGGTTCCTATACACCTCATGTCTTGGTTTACATGAGAGTCAGGTTATGTAATGGAATTTGTGGACAAAATGTTTGGCAATGGCTTCTACCTGTGAAGGGTTACTACCCAACATTTGTGACGTTCCTTGGTAATTTGTGCAGCAACGGAACAAACCCAAGGAACCACCAAGAGTGCCCAAGTCCGCTCCTTTCTTCCTCCCAACGATAGCCGGCCTGACGCCCAAGTTTGCAGCACCAGGAGATGGTGACGACAAAGACAAGGTATGTTTTAAGAAAACCCTGGTGCATTTCATAAATGTACCACAGAACACTTTCAGAATTCCAAAATGTCCTTTTTTTTCCAATCCACTTGCTTTGGGGCTCTTCAAGTAATCCAAAATCTCCACATTTTTCAAACGAATGTCATTGTCACATTGGCCACAAACAGCAGTTTCCACAAGTCAAGTTCTAACGGTGGTAGCACTGGCGAACTTTGAAGTGTCCTTATTGGACACCTCATCAGAAATAGGTCATATCTGGGATTGTGATTGGTTGCCATGCTGATAATGTGGTCCGATTCTGCATTCTACATCCTTCCCATTTTTACGGGTGCATGAGAAATGAAATGGTTTTCTCGCATTCCCTTTGGTAGGACAAGGTGAAATCATTGAGTCTTCCAAGCTTTGGCCGCCAGTCACGCCTCTCCTCAGCTCTTGAGCAGAGCATTGAATCTGAACAATGTGAGTAACTATTTCTTTTTCCTATCCACAAATGATTAGCTTCAAATACAGTGAAAGTCCTTTAAATAGAGCACTCTAGTAGAATGTTTCCTATAGACATGCTATCCATTTTATGCTGTGTGTGTGTCACCAAACCAGCTACATCCTGATTGTTTTTTTTAAGGGGGAACGGAAGGTTTCCTTTCCAGAATTTTTCCTGATTAAAACATCCAGACACATACATTTCATAAATTTACGATGTGAAAGTGATTTTAAAATCCTTTCTAATTGAATTAGGAGTGCAGCCTCGCCTTAAGCCAAATGAGAAGGTAATCAAATTCGGAAATAGGCAGGAAAGATTGGACCCAAACCCGTACCGATTGATTTTAAAAAAGGGAAACCCTTACATCCTTTGTCCACAGTCAGCCAGGTGCTCAACCTCCTCAAGTCCATGTCTCCGTCAGAGATTGACATGGAGCTGCGCAGCCTTGCTCCTCTCGGAGGGGGGTCCATCGAGGCCTTGAAGCAGTTCCTCCACTTCCTCATTAAGGGACTTCAAGATAACGTTGACTTCGAACTCCTGCAAGCCTACACAACTCTCTTCTTGAAGGTGAGTCTGAAACTTGATTGTTTTAACGAGGTCCAGAGTAAAGAAGAACATATGCAGAGCATTGGTTTGTAGTTATGTGGTGCTCTGTGCATGAGATTTAATCTGGGAAAATTGCATATGTTTTACATACATGTATAACCAACCAAATTCGTATAAAATATTTCGAGAATGACAATTGAGATATTAGTGAGAACAGTGGCAGTAAAATGTCAAATTGTCCCCCCCCAAAAAAAAAATCTTGGGGACTATTTTTTATTATCTGTAGTAAATAAATAATTATCTGTAATCTATCTCACATGTGAGTTTACAATGTCAATGTATTTTTAAACTTTGTTAATGCTGTGGTTATATTCCTGGTCGTATTAGAAATTGGTCAGTTGAAGACATTGCATTGACAGCATGATTAGCTTTCATGTACGCGGCTCTGCGCGCACGTGTAGCCGATAGAAAATAAATGAAAGTTGCTTATGAAAACGTTCAGTTAAGAGAGACTTGTAATTGATGAAATGAATGGGTTTTTTGTCTCTCTCAAAACCTTTTTAAACTTAAAATTAACAGTACATGTTCAAAGTTACGAATAACAGACTTGCGAAGGTAATCTTTCTGACTCTAAAATTTCAGAGGACATGTGAATGACTGTGGCATGCTCCTACATAACGTAATTAGTCCTTAGGCCAGTTTAAAGGAATTTCATTTTAGTTTACCATGGCGAGAGCAAGCCAAGTTTGGATGTATCACTCTGTCATCCCAATGATAATAGACGTTATACAGGGCTAAATATGTTAGGGGCTCCTGTTGAGTTTCCTGGTGTGTGGCTTTCAGCTAAAGAGAGACCCTGACAACTCATGACTCATTTTCTTAGGTTGGGTCAAAGTCGATCAAGAATAAGACCTGTAACTGTAATCATATATACACATATTATTTATTCTGGACCTCCCTGACTCCTCCATGCTTTCCAAAGAGAGGAATGTCCCCCCCCCACACACCTTTCCCTAAGGTACCACCACCACTAGATGACCTCCTGTCATCTATCATCGATTTCAAAATTGTCATAGCAACTTTGCCGCCGTGCGTGAATAATGTAGGATTATACAAGCTATTACACTCTGGTAACTCCAGGCGTGAATTTGTTTGCTATGAATTTATGTTTATTTACTTGAGATCTTTGGATTATGATGTGATATCATTTAAATCATTAAGGCTTTGCTAGTAGAATTTAGTCTTTCAAACTTCTGAAATGCTGGGAGCAGCTTGACTGCTAGACTTAACAGAAATGTTACTGAATTTTTTCCCATGCAGAATTTTTGGACCATTTTGCACAGTTTGCATGCAAACTGAATTTCTGTTGGGGATAGGTGCTCATGTTAGTAAATTTAGGTCAGATAAGGGATTAATAATTAATCACCAATACTCATAAAATGTTTGCCCATGTTTGCAAAACTCACTATGTCAGATCATCAGAAAAGGCCTGCCCATGTTTGCAAAACTCACCACATGCGAGTACTCAGAAAAAGCCTGACATTGTTTGCAAAACTCAGCTCAGATCACTTGGAAAAGATCTGCTCGAAAATATACATTTATGTTCGTGTTTGCACACCCATGTCAGATAACTCAGATTATGTTTGCTCGTGTTTGTGAAACTCACAAAAATGTTTCAGATCACTGGGATAATTTTGGCCATGTTTATAAAACTCAGTATGGCAAATTAGTTGTTCATAGAGTTTGGGTTCTGCACTATAAAATTTAGAAATTGATACACTTTGTTCAATGCTCATTTGGATTGTTTTACTGTATATGAATTGTGTCTGCATTTGTCTGTCCCAGTTTGATTGTTTTTAAATTTCAATAAATTAAAAACTATACTTTGTGTTCCGTTTTTCGACATTCTGCGTAGCATTAAGCTTTTATGTTGAATTATTTTCGGTGCCCTTTGTATTTCTCCCTGTACATGTCATTTTAACCACCCCACGATGTCTACGCCGTGTGCACAGCATAGAATTTCATTATCTTTTATTCTTGCCTGCTAAGCATTCCACCAGGAGCAATGAGTTAAATGAGGCGTAGCCAAGCCAAGTGGCTTATGATGCGTCGTCATGACGACACACGATGCCCAAATTAATGGGCTGCTTGTACGTTTGTCTTCTTGTCTGCCTTTCTCCCTGAATTGGTTTGCTGATGGGAATCTCTGATGTGTATCAAGTTCACTTGTCATGACATTTTGGTTGATTGGGTTAATTGGCTGCTACCCTGCTTGCTAGTTGGCTGGCTAGCTGCTGTTTTAGCTTGATAAGGATTCCATAAGGTTGCTTGCTTGCTTGCTTCAGTGTTTTTTATTAGATATATATTTTGGAAGGTTGACTTATGATTATGTTCGGAAATTTTATTGTTTGGTTCATTTCCTTTGGTTGGCAGTAAGGTGTTGTTAGTGCTGGAAGGGAATTGACAAAGTACTTGCTTTGCACCAAATGAAAGGATACTCGGTAGCCAAAGGCTACATCAGTCTCTTAATCTGGTTAATCTTCACATGTCAGTGCTTACACAATCAGACTGAGGAAATAATGAGCCAGTTCATTGTCCACAGCACCTGCCCAAGATGAAGGCCATTGGAGGTTATTTGGGAACAGCTGTACAATGTATGTTCATGGGAAGTTTGCCCTATCTCCATTGCTATATGCTGACTTCCACGTGCACTTTGTTTTCAAAGGACCTTGCCCTTTTGAAACGGCTGAACTGGCTCATTGCTGCCACGAATCTTGTTGTGATCCCATCAGATAATCTCAAGACTTGAGAAAAAGGTTTGCGGGTACACCATGGACGCAAACTCATTTCTCATGTTTCATTTACCATGCAAAGCTTCAAATCTTACTAATCTCAAGCCTCGTTAATTGCTATAAGAACCTTCAGTGATGTTTGATTTCCTCCGACACCATTCAATTGCAGCTCCATGGCAGTGAAATTGCCGACGACGCTGACTTGGCGGAAGAGGTGCGTCAACTGGCAGTGGTGCAGCAGTCGTCATGGCAACGCATCCAAGCGCAGTTCAACAAGTGCCTGTGCTTGATCACCTACATGAAGAACCCAGCTGTGTGAAGGTATTGTGCTGGCTGCGTGAAGCGTCGGATGGGATGAGACACAGGCAATGGATGGAGGGTGAAGAGATGACTCCTGATGCTTGACTTTTAAGATTTCAAACAGAAAAACAAATACCACAGCAGGAGCAAGAAAGATAGTTTCCAGTTACAAAATGGGAGCCAATTTTAAATCACAACACATGCAGGAACGTGTAGTTGGTTTTCATCAATTCAAGTTTGTGATTCAGTAAGTTCCCTGTACCATTTTTGAAATGACATGCTTGGGGCTTCTTTGGTGTCAGCTGTTTATTTTTTTCAGCAGATCCTCTGTTTTATCGTCAAGTGTAACTTATAATAACAAATTACCTACAGAAACAGCTTTCTCTAATATTTTGTTATGTTCAAACATCTTTCAAGAAGAGTCTCAAATGTGGTCCTGTCTCCTAAAATTACATTTGGATCCAGAGCAGAAGTTGCTCTCTTTAACTGCGCCTGCCATTGTCACAACGGGTCAATACGACTTGAAAACAGAGTTGCACATCAACTTTACTGAGTGCTGTTCTGATGTACAGTATCATGTATGAAACATTTCATAAACTGAATTCGCCATTACGTACAGAGGTGACACATTGGATGTCATGGAAACCACCTTAGTATCATTATTCATGGTATGTTTCATGTGGCTTATTACAACCACCAGCGAAGTAAAATAGCCTCCAACATTTTGTTCCGGATCAATTATTCATCAGCACAGACACTAAATATATGAGAATGTCTTTACTTGGATTTTGTCACTTTGGATTTTTTGTTTTTTGTTTAATTATTGATAAAAGAAGATTGAAGCTCCTTCAATTTGTTCTTATCTAGGATCTGATGAGCTTTGAAACTTTTCATGGTGAAAGTGGTAATTCGGGTACAGACCTTGCACCATGCAAGGATATCTCTTTTGAGAAAGATACTGTTCCCTATTTAAAAAAAATTATGATGACTAAGAAATTATTTGGAGACATATGAAATTGATTGTTGAAAGAAAATTTTCCGAAGATTAGGGCCTAGGCTTGATTATTACTAGAAATGTGACGGTGTAATCAAGGTTGAACGACGAGTGTTGTGCTCTGAGGATGTCCTCGGAGTTTTTAAAACCATGCACTTTATTCTGTCCCAGAAATGCGTATCCACGTTTGTAAACACCCTCATGTCCTATGTCACTAGGATGTCCTAGTGGCATATTGTTCAAAACGTTGCGAAAGGCACTTGTAGGATTTGTACACAGTTTTCCAGTCGTGGACTTTCAGCCAAGTCTACAGGCGATTGGGAAACAGGCACACACGCGCATGCTGACGTCACGTACTCAGAGTGGGTCGCCTTTGTTTACGTAAAGTAAAGGGAAGTAAAGTCCGACTTTCCAAAAGGGGAAGCTTCTACAAAGCATGAAGTCTTGAAGACTAGTCTCCTCTCAAAAACCATTTGCCCACTAGGAAAGTACGTAGTGTGTCCCCAGAGAGTAATGTTTTTTATAAAATTAAAAAAATAAAACAGCACACACCACCCCTGAAAAAGTGCGAGAGATAAATGGGAGAGAGAATGAAAAAAAAAGAGCCAAAAGGGAATGAAAAATCACCATTTTGCTTGAAGAATTCCAAAAAATCGAAATTAACCCCTTTCCACTGTTGTTGGTTTATCACTTCATTGCTGATGAGTGCTATTATACCCCTACCCTGAGAAGTTTCCCCGGGAGCAGTTGCCGAGTTTCCCCACCCCACCCTGCCCCCGGAAAAATCCTGCCAATATCCATGTTTAGACGCGATCCTTAATCACTTCTAAATGACTGGAGTGAAAAGTAGAAGGTTGGCTATTGAAAATTTTTCGAATATGGGATGTAATTCTCTTGATTCTCTGTAAATTAAAAATATCCCCGCCTTACAAATTATATTGCATGTGCTAGCTTATTTGTCCCGAGGGAGGGGGTGGAACAGCGTGTTTATGTCTTTCACAGCTAAGCTAGACGTTTATGCATGTATACGGATGGTGGCCATTAATGTGAGGACAGGAAGTGAAATGATCTACTGACAATATTGTCTCTGAAATGCACAATAGTTACCCATGGCAACGGCCATTATTGTGTAGACTTGCAGTTTGTCGTGTGGGCCTTTGCAGCCGTCTACAGAACAAGTGTCATCCCCAATGGCGTATGGGGGGAGGGGGAACACTCCCCCGATTTTTTTTCTTTATCAAAGAATATTTCATAGGTGAAAAGGGAAGAAACTGGTATATTTGTTTATCAAATATTAGCACCAACACCCGAAGAAAACATCACCAGCAAATAAAGTAAACCAATGATTAAATCAAGGGACTGTAAGGCTTTTGTAACTTTTTCACCCCAAGCATTATATTGAATGAGCCCAAAGCCACATTCACTTTTGAATTGCCCCCCCCCCACACACACACACACCCACCAAAACTGGATACGCCGCTGGTCATCCTGTGGGGTGGGGTATCATTGTTCACCGTGCAGTCAACTGTTTTGCAGGCAATGAAGCTTTCATTCGCAGTTTCAGTGTCGAAATTTATCCCCGCATGTAATTTACGTATACCAGAAGGTTCGGGAACTTCGGGAACTTCATCAAGTTAACTGTGTTTTAACCAGAATATGCAAAATGAAAGGATGAAGTTTCTTTGCAACTTTTTTGTATGAAAAATATTTTAATGAGAGTCTTGTGCAGCGAAGTCATTGGCATCGAGCTTTGAGTCGGGGTATGGAATTTTTAACCGTCAAAGAATCCTTGTCAACCCAAAAATAAAGGCAGTAATCCTGTTCCTGAAGTATTGAAGCTATCAATCCCGAAAAAATGGCAGCTTCTCCAGGGGTATCTTGCGCCCCGCCCCCCTCGCTGGATATACCAATGTCTTTGGTAGAAGGGAATGTGCATGATATTGCACGGCTCACAGAAGAGTCAAGGTATGCGATGAATTATTGGCAATCTGTTCGTGGAGCTGAGAAAATAGTTTTCTATAGTATACAATGTAATGGTGGTCTTCGGCTTCTGTATTAAGAGTAATTTGTACTTCGTGGAAAACCCAAGGGAGTGGAGCTGTATGGAAGTGGTTGTTATATTTTTTGAATATTAATATCACATGAAAAGGTCGTGTATGTTGACTGATGTCTTCCTCGGTTAAACCTGATATTCTGTTAAAATGTACAAATGACGCAGCGTTATATTCCATGCTTCTACGAATCGGAGAAGCTCTTCCAAAACACAATGGGTCATTGTTTGGTTGGATTGCTTTATAGATAGTCACGGCAGTGCGTGCAGTGCGTGTATTAAACGACCGTCCGGCTGACGTTGTGCATCACCCAACAACCTTGATATTGATTGGATGGTTCTGCCTACCACCAGACGTTCAGTCCCTCCACCGCGGGGGAAATAATAACAGCGATGATAACGGGCTGCTTGGTTACGTTGCCATGGGGACCAGATGCATAAAAATTGGTAACAAAAGGCCAGCATCACCATTTTGCTCTCTGGTTCCACAGTGGACGGAGCTTGTAGGTGTTTGTCTGTTAGCGGAGACAAAATATCCTTATTTTTGACAAAGTATACGCAACCGCCCAAATTGTCTCATTTGGGAGTAGCGTATAAAGGGCGTGTCTTCTGAAGAGATCGGAATTCCTTAGACAGAAATTGGCGGGGAGATGGATCGTTCGACTCGCAGAAAGTTACTGGAGTCCTTCAAGGAGGAGGTGGGCCAGACGGTCGACGCCGAGAAGGTGGCCCGGGAGCTGTACGAGAGGGGCAGCATCAGCGAAGAGATCCGCGACCTAATCCTGAAGCAGCGGACGAACAAGGACAAGGCCAACAAGCTTATGGATGTGATGAAGATCTCCAAGACCAGCAACTACGAGGCTTTCTGTGAAACACTCCGAGAGCAAGGACACGACAAGCTGGCACAGCAACTGTTGAAACCCGAGGAGCGACCCAGCGCCGGCCCCAAGCGCAAGACTAAAACAACAGGGGGTAAGTACGCGTTGATTTCAAGGGCTCAGTGAAAAATGTCGAAGACAAAAAAAAAACGAAAGAAACCTTGAGAGGGATTGTCTTCAAAATATCCGGAAACCCAACAAGTTCAAAAGCTTGAAATACTATTTGTGGATGCACGACAATGTCATAAAGGAAAGAAAAGTTTTAGCAAAATATATTTGTTATCAATTTTCATATTTTGGGGAGCCAACGATGACGTAATTAAGGATTAACTATGCCGAGAGTCGCTCTTGACGCGTATACGGATCAACACAAAGACACAGTTATTTGCGAATAGAACCCCTTCACTGATATCCCCCATTGACCTTTAGTTTCATTTGAGGTTCATCACGACCGGTACCTTTGTGAATTCATTACTGTTATAGTTGACCTTATTGAGCGAGGTCTTCTTTTTTTTAACTACGCGTGAGAGTTCCCACGGATAATCAATGAAGAACGATGCTGGAATCATTTCGGTTTAATTGGAAATGGCATTTCATCATTTTTAAATATCTTAATCGTAATATTAAGTCTGGTTTTTGAATGTGATATCCACATTTCCGACTTGAAACAGAAATATTCCAAATATGGCCCCAAACTGACTTTTTTTCATTTGATAGTCTGGTTTAGCTCCAGTTACAAAATGAAAAATAATGTAATAAACTATGAGAAAGTACACCCGTGGAAATGGCTTTTTACGAATTATCTGAGAAACTTTGCAAATCGTCTTACAACATACCACTTTTCCTTCTATGTTGTTTTTACTGTGCTGGCTCAAAAAGTGGGCTTTTCAATTAAATAATTTGAACAAAATATTCTTCTCGGGAAGTAAGTTGTGTCATTTTAAAGTTTGTTCCCCTGAAACAGTCTCGAGCAGTTTAATACGAATGTTTAAACTGACCAATTAAAAAAGAAAGAAAAGAAAACTGATTGATCTTTCAAAAAGAATTTACACGCAACTGCCTGGTTGTGCGCGCACATACATACGTGTACATGTCGGAGTATCAACATGCATAGAACATATTATCCTCTGGATCGAAAACCGCATGATGCATTACACTACATATATAATGTATCAGTAGGGCGTGCCCAGGATTATTGGGGGATGGGGCTATATAGGGGGTCTGAGGTCATGCTCCTAAAAAAAAAATTAAAAAGGACATCAAACCCCGCAACTTGGTACCTTGTAGATAACCACACAGACAAATCCTAGGCTTGAATCTGTTTTGTGATTGTTTTATTGGTGAAACGGTAGAACATTAACGAGGACAATATGTCATTGTTATCAAGAGTCCCAAAGTCTTACCTCGGCATGCGGCCTTTGTCCCATCTTTCAACCTCTTGGGTTGGTGATACTATGAACTGATTTTTCGTCGAGGATATTTATGTATGACAAGGTTTTTGTCCATAAACTGACGTACGTGTAATCCCCACTGCATTCTCATCGTGGCCTTCAAAGGTCATTCATTTTCTGTTTTGCACACCAGCCTACACTGACGCGCAATCGAGCTTGAAAGTTGACCCCTGATGGCGTGCTTCCGGAACCCGTGGATAGGAAAAAGTACGAGCAATGATTTTAGAATTTGTAATTTTTTCGTTCAGTTACATCATTAAAAATCCAAATTGGAAAAAGGGCTTTGGAAAATATTTGCTAGTATATCAATTTATAGAAACTGAAAAACTACTTGACTTCGAAGAGGAATATTCTGCCAAAAATTGACCCATCACTTCCGTAAATCTAAAATATATGAAGAGCAGTCCAATGCGGCAGTCTTTTACGCAGATGAACATTCACGGTTTGAAATTTTATGGCAGTTAAAGTTAAAGTAGTAATCTACTTTTACGAAAGATTCCGAATATCTATCTAACCTTTGCTGACAACAACTGCGTGATGTCCTCTCAATGGAATATGGAATCCATCGACTGCAGGTAGGTAAATCTTTGCAACGTTGTAAAATCTCGTTTTCAAGTTAAGCACGGGGAATGAAAACAAACGTGCATGGACAAGGAGACCTAGGTATGATATCGCCGGACGTGAAAAATCGTACATGAAATTCGTTTTTTACCCATATCCAGGTGACTTTTCAAGTATACCTTGAGGAAGACAAAGGTAAAGTTCCAATGTGAGTGTTTCATGGGGTGGTTTCAGTTAGGAATTATTCTTCAAAAAATTATCAAACGTGATAGGACGGCCCAATATAAAAATTCCCATAGGCGGACTGCGCGAGGGTTCCGGAAGCTCACTGCGTGCCCTTATACTTTCAGGCTCTATTAATTTTAAGTCAAATTTGTACTTTCGTATATGCGGCAGCATAGATCTACAGTAACCTGTTAATTAATCACAGTCATGGCTCTCGCAACACTATCCCAACTTCTTGGAAATTAAAGCTTATCTTTTTTCCCCCTGAAATCTGTAAATCACTTATTCTCCTCGGGTACTGTTTATTTTTAATGTGGAGACCGGAGAGACGATGGACATGTTGCGGTATTTACGGTCTCCAACCTGTTGCTCCGACCTCCAGTGATGAATGGGAAAAATTAACCGTCATAAGCATGCAACTTAGCTTGCAAACCTGTGGTGCAACAGCTTCGGTAATGCAAATAAAAAAAATTCCAGCACAATCGTTATTTTTTTGAAACTAAGGTTTACGGGCGCTGAAACGGAGACATGCTTTAAGTTCGAATAATCCTGGACCGTTAAATTCACTTGCACGACAAAATAAATTAAGTGGCACAAAACATACTTTGGCTAGTGTAATCAGTCATCTCCCCTCCGCTTTCATGAGGTCAGCACATTTTCTGGATATAATTGATCTGCAATGCCATTTTACTTTTCCTGTAGCTTGGGTCATCCCGAATGCAATATGAGAAATGAAAACGACGGAGCGCTAAAACTTGATTGATTTTGGAAAGCCAAAAACGCGTTATTTTGCGGACGAAAAGCCGGCAACAGAGGTTTAGATGTTTGGTGAGAGATCGGTTTGAAGCTTTGCTGCATGCTTTTGTAAGAATTTCGTGGTGTTGAGTGTAAATTAACGATTTTATTCTATTAGGAGTCATTACGTAAGTAAAACACACACCCTTAGATAACAGATGAAAGCCTTCTGATGCACGCATGCCCATGGGCCCACGCACACGTACTACGTCATAGTATCGAGCGCGCACTAGTTCAGTCGGACCATAAAGTGTGATTTGCCATTCAGCCTTGTTCCCACGCGTACGATCTTGCCGCAGCCCATGGAGTCGGGTTCTCCCGCTCTGCAGTCACAGATATTGACCCCGACCGCCCTTGCCTCAAGGCGATTCATTATAACACTATATGCAGGGCTTTCTCGATGAAGAAATTTGCTATTTACAATTACCCTTCCAAGAATTTATGACGCGCGGATCTTAAGTTGTGTAACTTTCCGTATACAAAATATCCATGGAGTCACATTTTGTGATCGTTGAAGGAGATGTTGAAGTAAAATTGGTTATTTCACAACAAAGTGGTCCACGTTGCTAATTTTAATTAATAACTTGCAACAATCTCTGTCACTGTTGTTGAATAAATTCACGGTTAACACATTGCCATAGGTTTTGTTTCAACTGTCAAGTCGCTGACCCTTACCCCCAGTTGGTGACCCTCTCTAGCAATGAGCTTATTAAGGATTGCACCCAAACAATCACTAAACCTAATGAGAAGGAGTACACGGTATTTGACGTCTACACAAGATATTTTGACGATTGAGATGAAAATAATTCTTTCAGTGACCACTGCTTATTGGATCGGCCACTGTGCCACGGATATTGCACACTCTCGTTGATCACCATTCGATGTTTATTGAAAACCAATTATGTTAATTGGTTCTGCCCAGGAATGCAAAACATGGAAATGAGCGGTTGCACGCAAAATTGGAAACTACTCTCCATTAGAAACCTCTTAGGTCTAATCATTCATAATTCATAAATGAAAAGGGGCAAATGGAATTCAAAATGATAAGTAGTACAACCAGCCTTTACTTCCATGTTCATTGGTAAAACAGTCTCTTTTTGACTTCAAATGCATGCGTAAAAGTAAGCTTTGTCACAGAATGGCAAATTTCCACTTTCCGTGGAATTGACACGACACTACCTATTAAACTTAAATAAATCCCAGGCCTTTTCGTGCAGCTTACGAGGGGATCTGGACAGATCATTCCGAGAGTAAAGGTCGTTTCTCACTAAGCGCCAAAGTGAACACAGACGCGATTTGTGACATCAGAGCAAATATTCGAGCTACTTTAAAGCGAAATTTTGATGCAAATCTCTTTGGACGTCAAATTCGCCTTGGTTTCACATCCGGCCGTTGTATGAACTGACCTTAAGACTTTTTTGTTCACCATGTGTAGATATCAAACGGAAACCATCTAGTGCAAGGGCTGACAGCTACGCGGACGTGTTCAAGAGCTGCCGTAACTGTTTCATCAGCGACGTGGCCGCCGACCCGACACGACTGGTCAAACACTTGGAGGCTGGCGGTACGGGCAAACGGATGATACTCTCTAGCGCCACCAAGCGGCAGGTGGAGCTGGAGCCCGAGGCCGAGGCCAAGGCGCAGATTCTGTTTGAGGCCATTCTGCCGCAGATCAACGAGTACGGTCCCTTTTTCGAGCTGGTGCAGATTCTACGGGAACCATTCCAGCACCTGTCCAACCAACTCTGGGAACAGCTGAAGAACATCGTTGTGCCACCACACAAAAGTACGCCAACCTTTCTTTAAGTTTTATGTATGAAAGTAAAATTATTATTTTTGTGCTATTTATTTTTTATCCTCAGAGGCAAAGCAGGGGACCCCTTTTTAAGGGCGTTTTACGCATCCACGCGTTTCACTAATCCCCTTTGAATTTGTATCAATACTATGAAGAAGGTATATTAAGTAAATTCGATATAGGCCTGTCTTACTAACAAACATCAACATCCGCAACAGAATCCTCTAGACACCCTAGAGCAATGGAGACCTTTTACTTAATTCGTAGCCTTTCTGTCTCTTCATAGGTAGTACCAGCGTAGGTCGTAGTAAGCACAGCGCTGGAAGCCAACACTCGTCACTGCCAGGCTCACCCGGAAGTCTGCGGGGCTCACCCCAATCAGCTGGTGTGGGGCCCTCAAACGACGTCATGAAGTCCCTGACAAATCTCCAGTCGGATCTGACCGAGTCGCAAAGCGACAGCCTGAAGCAGTCCCTGCAGTTGGAGAGATGCATTCAGGCGACAGCCGAGGCCAACAATGCCATCAAGAAGCTAAAAATTCAACTGCGTCTGTCTGAGGAGGAGCGGGACGCTGCTGTCTCGCAGGCCGAGGCAGCCCGGCAACAGGCCGCCGAGGCACGCCAGCTACTGGAGACCGGACTCGCCGAGGCAGAAGCAGAGCGCAAGAAACTCGAAGACCAGCAACGCAAGTGGGAAGGCCAAATACGAAGACGCATGTCCATTCTGGAGCAGAAGGAGACGTACCTTGCCTCCAAGGAGGCAGAGCTGAGGCGACGCGAGGAGGAGCAGAAGCAGCGCAACCAACTTCAGCGGCGTCAGCAAGATTCACTGGAGAAGAGGGGCTTCGATGCGGCTCGTCGAGGAGAAAGACAAGACATGCGAAGCGCTGAGTACCACGTCCGCCAAGAGAGGATGAAGGAGAGAGAAAACAACCTGGAGATGAACGAATCGCAGATCTCGGAGAGAGAAGAGGAAGTTGCTCGAAAGGAGGGCGCCCTGAAAAAGAAGGAGATCGATTTGCGCCGCAGAGAAATGGAAACCATTCGTCTGGAGGAGCAGATAAAACTGATGCAGGCATCTCAGCGTAAGACGGCAGCCCAACTCAAGCAGAAAGAACAGTCCGTCGCCCAGGCAGAAGAAGACGTCAAAATCATTGGCGAAAACCTAAATCAACGCGAGGAAAAACTGAGAGAGAAAGAGAAACGGCTCAACGTGAAGATGCTGCAAGTCAAGGAGCAGGAGGAGGACTTGCACCAGCAGAAGAGAAGCATTGACAAGAAAGAGAAACAGGTGCAGGATGCAGAAACCGAGCTGCGAGAATGGGGGACGGAGCTAGAGAACAAATCCCAGGAAATGAGTAACATGAAATCCGAAGCGGACATCAAAGAAGAGGAGCTCAACCAAAGAGAAGAGGAAATAATGATCAAGAAGAAAGAGCTGGATAGCCTGCAAGATGTCCTGGACCATCGTCTGCAGGCGCAGGAGAGGATGGAGCGCGCCTTGCGGATGATCGAGGTGGAGCAGATTCGCCGAGATAAAGAAATACTCAACCGGGAGGCTGAGTACTTCCACCTGAGTTATCCCTCTCAGAAAAAAATAGAAGAGATTGCGGATCGGTTGGAGGAGCTGGACAAGAAAGACGGAGAGCTGAAGAAACGCGAGGAGCTCCTAAGCTGGATCGAAGTGGAACAGCAGCGCCGCGAGGTGGAGCTGAAGAAACAGATGCTGTTGGCCGAGCGAGCGCGCCGGGAGGCGGAGGTTGCCGGCGATGAGGCCGGCGATGATAACGACGGTCAGCGCATCGAGGCCGAATCAGTGCCCCCGAGCGAGGTTAGCCTCCAGCTGGACGCCGACCCAGAGCCGGAGATTTTTGGCTACGAAGTGGTGCTCAAGGGAGCCCGCTACGCCAAACGCGGCAGCAAGGCGTCCTTCGAGATGAAGGTTGCGGGGCTGCAGACGGTGGGGGCCTTCAAAAACATCTTGGAGACGGAGGAAGGGATACCTGCCAGCTGGCAGAGTCTCCTCCTGAACGGACAGCAACTGGATGATAGCATGACACTACCGAGCAGCAGTAGCCCGGGAGGGTTACAAAAGATCGAACTGAGACTGTCTGCACCTCAAGTAAAGGAAAGAGACGTTCTCAAACTCAGGGTAAAATTTCACTGCAACTTTCTTTTAGTCGAAAAAAGTTTGAAACAATTCGCAACCCCTTCCAGAAAAGTGTTGGGGTGCCCGTAAAAAGGTTTAAATTCTATGTTTCCTTTTTTGAATGTGGAACTTGAGTCAAGTTGCCATTTTAGGAATAGATAAATTTCGAGCTTTTTATAAAGATGGAGCAAAGAACTTGGGTCAGGAAGGACACAAAAACGAGAAGCTATACAATGGAATGTACTTCAAAACATGAAATGAAGTTTTCAAGAATCCCTCTCGTTCAAAAATCGTTTTTTACATAATTCGTTTGTTGAAAGCTAGCTAGAAACACGCACATTTTCCGATAAATAGACTACTGTCCATGTAAAATAATTTTGAGTTTTCCCAGATAACTTACCCTAAAAAAAGTGGAATTTAAAGAAACAGGATGTAATACGGACGTTGACAAGTTTTTCGCCACTTGTCGGGTTCAACTTAGGTACGGAGCTGCAACGGCCCTACCCACACCATCGAGTTCTCGCAGGAGGACACCGTGGCCCTGGCCAAGACGCGCATCTACAAGTACACCGGCACCCCGCCCCACCAGCAGCTGCTAGCCTACAAGGAAGTGCTCCTGGAGAACCACGCCCCTCTGCAGCTCTACTCCATCCGCAAGAACGCCACCTTGGATCTGAGGTTGCGCTTCACGGTGATTGCGCAGCTGTCCAGCAACCAGCAGCTGGCCATCACAGCCGACGAAGTCAACACCATAGCCAACATCAAAGCTAACATCTTCGAGAAGACCAAGCTGCCACTCGACAACATGAAGGTGCGTCTCCAGAATGTGCTTTTAAACCTGTCTCTAGAAGGGTGTTTGTGTCTGGCCAGAGATCCGCTGAAACACCAAGACATTAAGCATAGCTGAAAACGTCTCTTGCATATCGGCGCGTATTCAATGAAAATTCTATACAGGCAAAGTAATAACCCTTGACAGTAAAGTTTTCTTGCACGGCAATGAAAATGGAGGGTAAGGAAAAGCTCTAAAGTATCAAAAGATAACCAGAAGTATGGGCCTTGCATCGCTTAAATTAACCGAGCCAAAGTCTGATGAAAATGTTTTTCTTATTGGTTTTTGTTCCCAGATATCATATAGAGGCAAGCAGCTGGAGGATCACCGCACTCTCGCTCATTACAACATCGAAGAGGGCACTATTCTACTCGTCAGTTGCTCCCTCGTCATCAAGATGCACGCCACCAACACCGACATCGGCCTGGACGTGGAGCCAGGGGCCACTGTGCAGCAGCTCAAGCAGCTCCTGGCGCGCCGCAAGAATCTCAGTGCCGACCGCATGTACATCGTCTGCGGAGACCAGATCCTCAACGACGACCAGGACGTAACCGAGGTGGTGCGCAACGGGAAGGAGCTTGGCATGCACGTGGGCAACGTACTGGTCATGTCCTCGTCCGGGCAGATCGTGCACAGCGACACGGAGGCGCAGCAAGGCGGGGACCAGACAGACCGATCCCTGGATCTGAGCGTGTCGGGATCGCTGAATTTTGCTCAGACTGCGCGCTAAGTTGAGACGAATCCAGCGACGTTTCACCAGACATTCCCGAACCTCCCCTCCCCATACTTGGCGTTTGCATGGCTGCCATCTTATAGGCCAGTGCTTTTTGTTCCACAGGGTTTGCACAAAGGATGCTTCCCTGTGGACCAAAGAACTGCTCTGCAAGATGGCTACCACGCAAAGCCTCTATCCGGTTCATATTATGTATGACGTCATTTCATTTAAACCACGCCCACTGCACATACAGTTAGGCGACATGGAACCGACAGTTAACCCACAACTTGTTCAACCGTGTTTGTCTAACGGGAGCCTGCAATCAGCAGTGCATCTGCTTGTATGACGAAGTCACGTACGAACCGGATAGACGGCAAACATTCACTCTTGCGTGCAAAGTACCCTTCAGTTTTTCAGTTAAACCACAAAACGTTTGGATTCGGGGTTGAAGCGGTCAGAACATGGCATGCTCGGAATAACCATCGCCAACTTGATTAAACTCAGTGTAAATCAAGACGACGATAAAATATAGGGGCTCCAAAATAACACCAGCGGTGCAATTTCCATGCGTACGTTGGAAATAAATGTTATGTTAAGTGCGTGATTTAGCCTCAATGCAGACTGTTTATACGGTAGTGTAACGGTTGCATCACATCTCCCGATAATAACAGTTAAAATTTCAGCTGTTTTGTTAGTACAAACCTTTTTGATTGTGAAACAGCCCTGATCTTCGTCAAGCTTTTTCAATGCAGGCATCTCAGATATGTCGCTGGAATCAACGAGGTTCTTGACAAATCCTCTTGAGCTATGACAAAATGTAACTGGATTTGGATTGTGCGTTTCTGCAGGTTTCAAGTCCATTACTTGGAACTTGCATACTACATAATTATATGTGTACAGAATAAATGTAGATGCATAAATCGAACAAAAGGGTAAAAAGAGAGAGTATTTTAAAAAGTGCAATTAAACAATTTTAATAATGTATTAAAATAATTATTATGTTATTGTACATTTGAAAATTAGGCTAATCAGTATCTGAATTTCTCTGAACTTTTTACATTGTTTACAATATTTTTTGGATATCGGAGAGTTCTCTGTACAGGGTAGCCGTCGAAAACAAAGTTACAAGTCTGAGAGTGCTATGAGAACACGCATGCGCAGTTCAAACTACGAAAATAGAGTGGCTATAGGCTTGCGCGAAACTTAAACACAAAAAGGGAAAATTGACGGTCCTTCATAATATGCCTTTTTAAAACTTCCGTAATAGCGGCTGCTCTAGTTTGTTGAAGTTGTATTCATGTATAGAGAACACATCGCCCCAAATATAATTATGAACTGGCAATTGGCAATTTTTTTCTCAAATACTTTTAAACTATAGCATGAAAACAGGTGAAAAATGTTCCCTGTTTCTATACAGGAAACCGACTGATTAATTAATCCGTTTCTTGAATTTAACTGATTAGTTTTGTAAATGATAAATATCTGTTTCAGTATGATGTCCTCTTTCTTATGACATCAAGAAAACAACTTGTCCGTCACACATGACTAAGCCCAAACTGGCTTAATGGACCGTGTCAGTAATGGCTTTGCACCGGATGCATCACCAGTTTGCAAAGCGGGAAGCGTTTCTAAAAAAAAAAAAGCAGTAATTACCGTACACTGCCAAAATCATTAATTCAAAGACAACCGCAGTTAGGGGCTTATTCCTGCTGCAGCTTAACCCCCAGTGACCTTCAATATGCCCCCCCCCCCGCATTTCTTTCAACGAAAACTTCTTCCCTTGTTTTCATCGCTTTTAAATTGGTATAATACACTTTGGACATCCCAGCTAACAGTACGTAATTCTGACAAAAGCCATCTCTGGACGGTATGAATTTAACACCAAAACAGCAATTTGGTGCAAAGCCATTTTGACTTGGTCCATTAAACAACTTCGTGCAGTCATCTGTGACTGAAAGTTGGATTTCTTGGTGTCATGTAAATGAGGACGTCATGACATAACAGAGCTAGGATGGTTACCATTTACAAAAAAATAATCGCATTCAAGAAACAAACAAAATTATATCGGTTTCCTTTTAAAGTCACCCTGTATATTTGGCTTTTTAAGTAAAATATCCAGTTTAGTAATGTTCTTCAATTTTAATCATATTGTTATGTCATATTGTTTTGTCATATTGTTAATTATTTACACCAAAAACCTTGAAGTAATGCCCAAAACACCCCATTTTAACGGTACATAAAATAATGTTGAATATCCCATCCATGTTGGACGCCTGTCGGTTTTAAATACTTAACAAATCCTGTCGACAGGAAGGCCTCAGTTGACTTATCATTTGGATTGAGAGAATGACAGGCTGACTTCTCACTTAAGTTTTCTACACTGTTATCTATTGTGTCTACGACGAAGAAAAAATTCAGAATGATTTATCGACAACTTTCGCTTTCAGAAGAATGAAATGACAGAAATCAAACCTAATTGTGTTCAAACGTGAATCTGTTAGCTTTTACGCCCTTAAAACAGTGGTAAACAATATGTTTTCATTCTTCACCTTTACCTCAGAAAGCTTTGATTTAAAACTGAAGTTATGTGATTGGCTGAAAGCGTGCACGTGTCCTGACATGTGATATTCGTTTTTGAGCAGAGCATTTTAAAAATAAAAAAGATTTATTTCGAGACTGAGGTATATTTTTGTGGGCACAAGAAAGAAAACGTGACTTTAGGATGTTGAGTTTGCATTCTGAAATAGTAAGAACTCCTGGTGTTTGCTGTTTTTTATTGTCATATTTATATATCCAAATGCGTGTCCTGTAATCGAGATATCTTATTTTCTTGACTGATTTATGGAATAGATGTTGTGCTGTATCGAATGGCTCAGAGTGGAATGGAAGGAATATCAAAGTTAAAATCTGGATTTTTCCATTTCACGAGGCAAAGTTGAGTGAAATGGAAAAGTACAGACTTTACCGAGCGATATCCTTTCTCATTTTCACAATAATCATATATAAATTAATCATTTTCACAACTCAAAGCAACTCAATATTTGTTTTGTACAGCTGACATAAAGATCCTCCTCGTCTTGAAAAAGGAATTTAAAATGATTCCAAATGACACAAATAGGGGTTGAGAACCAGTTTTGTTTGTTTTCAATTTTAGCAAATTGTCACTCTTTTAAATAATGCCCTTTACATTTGGCAATGGTGAACCTGGCATAAGTTATTGGCGCGGGATGGAAGGATGACCCCATACAGTCCTATTCACCATTGGCGAATGGGCTTTTTTGAGCCCTGGTGTGAATGGCAACGATAATGATTAATGTGAGTTTCTCCAATTAAAGGACAAGAATCTGTGTGTCAGTCATATAAATAACTGTATAGATGGAGCGGAGTTTATCTTAATTTTGAGGTCTTGTACACGTGACATGCGCACTGTTGGGGTGCGTCACCTGGTAACGGCTTAAAATAAGAATTTGGCTTTGAGGTAAGATAATGACCCTTTTGACGATTTGCCAGACCATATGCGCGTGTGGAACGCACGTGCAGTGCTTACTTTTCCTCATGCAGAGATCTATTTTTAGTACTTTAACTAGCGTCATCATAGACTTGGTACTTAGCTTGGTATTGCACAGCCTTTTGATTCTTTGGAGGAAGTCCGTATGGTAGCGGCCTTGGGAGGGACACGAACTTCAGAAACGAGTCATGTATGTCGGCGCCATGTCGAAGCAAAAGACTATCTCTTTGGCAAAACTCACAATTTTTCTGCACGTGGAGTGAAAATCCCGGATTCCACTGGTACCATACATGTGTTGTACACATTACCTACATGTGTACAATCTTCTTGCAACAGTACAACCATAACAAACTCAGCATACAAAATAATGTTGGCAAGAATGTACACCATTGTTCAGTTTCGAGCGTGTGTGGAAGTTCACACGCCAGGTGCTTCGCCGTGACATCACTACACACCCACAATTTTATTTTAACTTTATTTCATAAAACGGTGAGAGCCGATGTTTCCAGAGAGATCCTGCAGTTGGTTCTACTTTTCATTCAGTTTTGGTAGTCAGTACCACGCACTGGGGAATTAGGGGTTAAGGCGGCCAACCAGCAAAAAGGAGCCATGTTTTGTTCTTTGTGTCAAAATGACGAAAGGCGTCTTTCCACTTTTCTATCTCCCTTCCTTCAAAACGTGTTCAAACCCCCCTAAACTAAAGTCTCCACCCACCCCTCCGCCGAAAAAAATCGCTTTTCCAGAAATTTGGTTCAAGATCCACCGTGGCTCCACCGCGTGATCGAAACTCGAGATAATGTTAACACTTGGCACAAAGGCCTCACATGTTTGCCGAAAGTAAGCCTACTGAATCTCTGCTAAAAGAAATTCAACCAAGGATTCACTTTTGCCAGATCCGTGCATAACTCAGTAACCAGCCACTTTGTGAGCGATAGGTCATTAGATTGAAAAGCCGTATACGCCAGCAAGCCACTAAAAGCAGTGGCCTGTGCAGGTCTTGAAGTGGGGGTGGGGGCTGAAGGGATTTCTTTGTTTCTAAAAACGACCATCCAAATGTTTTCGTGCACGTATTAAGGAAACCTCTCCCCAAAACAGCTGACAGTAATGTTTCTAACGTGCTGGCGCTTTTCATTTCTCAAAAAAAGTACACAATATGCCGGGGGGGGGTTAACTCCTTGCCTCTCGCTGGAAACACTACTAAGTTTGAATGTGGTAACTTCGTGCCTTCATAATTATAGTTCTCATACCATGAAAATGACAGAATTCCTCATGAGAATGCAATTCTGTCACTTCCCTGGGAACACTGTGACCATTTCTGTTAAAAAAAGAATCAATATCCGCCTCTCTTTCAAAAAGGAATCACAAACACAAGATAATGAGGATTCACATTTTATAGGGATGTTCATAATGTGCAAAGATGGTCTTTCCTGTGAGCTCCGAGCTGAAGCAAGAGAGGGAGCAATTTTCCTAGTCAGTGGTGTAGTTAGAAATTTACTAGTGAAGGGCATAAGGGGGGCACCAGCATCTTATGGGGGCATCAGCTTTCAGTGGTGTGGTTTGATTGGGGCAAGCTTTTGTTAGCCTTGTTGAATATCCATTCATCCGTTTATTAGTGGGAGGGCACCTGGGGGCACTGGGAATTGGGGGGGGTACGTGTCCCCCAGCCATGGAGGCTTCTTTGGTAGTAACTGCTGGTTCATGAACGACCATGAAACGCAAGCGTCGCATCGCTACCAACAAACTGAACACTCCTGACCAACATGGCTGCTTCTTCTCGGGGCGGTTTATGGCTCAGTAATGCATCGAGAAACGGATAGTTATGATTGTCTTACGCCGTAAAGGAAGCGTCTGCAGGTAAAGAGTACTGATAGGTCTCTAGACTTCTCTTCGTTGTTGCCAGGTTCGAGCAGCCTGGAGTCGGCTTAAAAACCTAACGAGAAGTAGTTGACTATTGGCAGTGGCGTAACTTTTTGAAGGAAATTGGGGGGATAGGGAATTTGGGGAGGATGGCTTGCCTGGCCATGGAAATCTGAAAACCGGGGTGGGGGTGCAATCACCATATGACACAGTACGGGGGGTGGGGATTTTCATCATAATACAGATGTACATCTGTAATATGTATTACATTCCTATACGGAATCTTTCTTCATAATGGCATATTCATGACTTCTTATTGTTTAATAGAAAGTAGGTTTGCGGTAGCACCATGGACGTAGCTCTTTTGTGAGTATTTGCGGATCTTATTATTTTCCGTTTTTTGAGTGCGATTGAATACATTTTGGTTTTGGGAAATCCTAAAAATTGTGTACTGTTACTCTAAATTTATTTTTTTCTCACCACGAAAAGTGGTGCGGGGTGTGATTCAATAGTCCGTCCCCCAGTCAGAACGTTGAGAGATATCATATTCTGCCACCACAACCATCTCTGTGTTAAAATCTCCAGCGTCGTTAAGGGTGAGGTGCCGGTTGTTGGTACCGATACACGTACAAGCCTGAGGCAGAATCGAAACGAATAATCATCGTTTTAGACCATGCCTCTTTTACGCCCTCCGCGTCTGCACGGTGCATGCTGTATTCCAACATTAATAATGTTGGACTTTACAGAAACCTTTTCCTGATGCTGCCCTTGGAATTTGGAATTCACAGGCCATCATTAAAACGGATCAGATTCGACTTTTGGCTTCTCGAAACTCCACAACTTCAAAAGCAAAGTACTGCGACAGCACAGGCCACAGCTCTTCACTCATTATTGTTGTCAGTAATGATCTCTGGGTACCTCCCAGGTCCGAGTCATTTTCTTATTTATAGCTGTTCTGAACAAGAATCGTGACAGTTTGAAAAGCTTGACAGAAGAGATCGCTTTGGACAACGACGAACGATTCTCCTGTAAATAGCTTCACTCCAAGATATTCACCCCCGTCAGCTTTGTTTGAGCACCGGTCCCCTGCTACACGCAAACGTCGGCAACGGAAGAGTTAGAGGTATCAGAAGAGTTAGATATGATAGCAGTTGGCACCTCCAAAACTGCAATCAGGATGAAGGGCCAGGCCAAAGATTCAGCCCCCCGCCGCCTAGTGATCATGGGCTCCTCAGGGGTCGGAAAAACAGCACTCATCTCCATGTTCCTCCGGGGGCGGGTCAGCCCCATCTACTACCCGACCGTGGAGAACTGCTTCGCCTGGAAGATGTCCAAGGGAGGCAGTGAGTGCCAACTGGAAATCATCGACACCTCCGGCAGCGGCGACTTCCCAGCCATGCACAAGCTCTACATCTCCACCGGCCAGATCTTCATCCTGCTGCACTCGCTGGAGGACCCCAAGTCCTTCGACGAGATGCTGCGCATCTTGGAGGAGATCAGCCAGGAGCGGCCCGACGAGCAAATCCCCATCTTCGTCGTAGGCAACAAGGCCGACCGGAGGCGGCCCAGCGGCATGAGCATCGCTGAGGCCGAGCTACTCCTCATTGACTACATGGACGTGGTGAGGTACAGTGAGTGCTGCTCCCTTAACAAGTACAGCGTCGATAGCGTCTTCGCCCTGGTCACCGATGTCGTCTTGGGCTCCCTCCGCCGGGTCAACAGCTTACGGGAGGACCTCCTTGGCAACTCCAACAAGAAAGATGATAAAGGGTTTCTCAGGAAGTGGAAGAGCTTTCGCCGTGGGAGAGAAACAAAGTAACAAACCATTGGACAGCCTGAAACAGAAAAGCTTGAACTTGTCATGAGACTAAACATTCTTTTGGGCGCAATTGTAAGTTTTTTCTTGTTATATGTAATTTGGAAAATATCTACCCTTTATCTTGCTGGTGCACCAGTGTTTCTACTAAATTCTTCCAATTGTGAGGTCTGGTTTTTTCACCTTCCATTGGGGTTAGAGCGTGGTTATGTAGGAAATCCATTGTTTTGCTTATACAAAGTAGTTTTGTATGGTTGATACACTTAATTGACTTTTTCAGGCCAGTGAATAACTGTCACATTTGTGAAAAATTATGTTGTATTTGACAGAAAAATTGTAGTAATTTCGTGAAAGGAAATATAAATATGTTATTTAAAACGCACAAGATGATGTTGTCTTCACCTTTGTTCATAATCATAGATATTTTTCCCAATTGTACAATTGCTGAGTTACGTTCATTGTAAAACAAAAACCCAAAATTTTACATATACAGTATTTAGCATGTAATAAAATAATCGTAAGTTAATGAAATGCTTGCCCACTTCAACATGATTTGATTTTGTTTGGCACGAACTGTTGCGGAACCCACCATTGTTTGCATCGATCGACTTGACCCTAGAGAATCTGGCATACTTGAGCCCTACTTTGACCAAGTTGTTTGCCCTGGGTTGGTACAACTTGACACGTTATTCCGGAAATAATACCGTCTAAATCGTCCCTTTGAGTTCGGTTTAACTCAAAAGTAAACACGGAGATCCCAAACGAAACAAGAAACGATGTGCCCAGTCATCCAAAAAAGGAATGATGTGCAAGTGGTGTCAAATTTCAAACTTGGAAGCCGTTACCGCGTTGGGATGAGACTGCGCTTGTGCGTAGGTTGTTCGCCTGGGGTGAACTTACTCTTAAAGACACGCACGCAACCGAAGTGGAAGAACCCGCGTGTGAGTGTGGTGCCATCACAGGCATGGCTGAAAACACCTGAAATGTCAAGCTCATGATAAGTATCGAAAGATAAATTATGAAGCCTTTTCTCAGTATGCCACCATTATCGTATCAAAAGTAACTTTTTTGTTTTCTTAGTAATCTTTATCACAAGTCAAAGTGAGCTGTTCGACTTGTTCAACAACTTCAGATGACAGGTCTTTTCAACAGCTCCCCAACTAATGACACGTTTTTATTTTGTCATCGCTAAGGGACGGTCCTTTTTGTTTATACTGACATAACTCTGATTATTCAACTGACCTATGATAATGCTCTTTATTGTAATTGCCGGACACCTCTGGAAAACACTGCTTCACTGAGAGACCTTACCAAGGTAAATACGAAATAAAAATAAATAATGAATGAGGGAAACTTTTGCATGGCAACGGCCTCCTTACCAATTGAGAGGTTTCTTAGTTGTTTCTACAAAAGCTTATGCAAGTTTGAGCTTTGATCGTTGAAGATCTATCGACATAATGCCTAATTCGTATTTATAACACGATACCCGCGATAGCTCATGACGTTCTTCGTGTTAAGACTTTTTAATGTTGGTTTCCCTATAGTTGACACAGCACTCCCCCAGTCGTTCGTTTCAATTTGACTATATACGACATAAGAATCAAGCTTTATATGAAAATATAACGAAACAAAATAAGCTGGTGGCCATCATGTGGCGGCAATCTGATTTAAATTGAGTTTAATTTTTCATTTTCAGAACCTGACTGTAAAACAAAATAAAAGTGTGTAACAAGTAAATGCCAGTCAAGAATAACTAAAAATTTGTAACAAATTTTATTTAAATGTTTTTAAAGCCACGTTTTAAAAACTGAAAGTGAAGCTTGGAACCAAAAACGTCTGACACCCTCCCTTATAACAAATTACATAGAATGGTAACACAGTGGTTTCTCCATGGATACGGAACAAGATTCAAAATACCAAACCCTCAGTAGAAGTGTACTTGGTCTTAAATATTCTAATACGCCAAAATGATCAGTTTGTTTGAAGTTGCATCGTAGTTCTTTTTCAAATGATAGCAGTTATTCAATGGATAAAAGCCGGTCTGAATTCACACATGAAGAGGGTGTTTATCATCTATTCCATCTGATCAACTCCCTCTCTAGGAAACCCTGCCACACCCCTTACGAATCAAAATTGATTGTTGACCTAATGATTAATCAATATTTTCATAGTTGGAAGAATGGCCTGATTTCCGATCTTCAGAATCTCCTGATGGCTCACCTCGAATCGAAGGTCCCTCACGACACCTTGACGGTCCAACCGCACCTCCGTGAAGCGGAAACACACGGGGCAGTTCCTCCGGGTCGAAACGGCGGCGTCCTCCGTGCAGGCACCGGCCTTTGCGACAACCCGAACGCTCAGCTGGATCTGCCCAGCAATGTGGGTCTCGTAAATCAAGAAGAACCTGCCCTTCTTTCTCAGCTTGGGAACAGGGCAGGTAGGGTCCATGCGGCAGCCCAAAAGTTTTCGTGGATCTACCCTCCTCGTGGTGATGTCGTAGATGCCTAACTTCAACACAGTCTGTCGTCCAACACCCTGAGACGAATTCTCATCACCAATGGGCGACTTGCAGCATCGCAAAGTTTGCTCGAATTCAAAGCTATTAGGGCCACTTAGGGGCAATGTTTCCTCTCGCAATGTGACATCCTCTGTGCAAACTTGGTCTCTGTCCTGCCACCTGAAAGCTTGTCTGTCCGTTGTTTGAAAGGAGTAAACTTCCACTTTAACTCCTTTCTACCATGTAATCATAGTTGCACATGGATATTATTGTGACTTATCAGGAACCAGGCCAAGTACAAGAGTTTGCTTTCTGCCTGGTATCCATCATTCATAACCCTTCTTCATTCTATAAATAACTGTGCTTCGTAGTATTCTTATTACGAATGGTGGACATAAACCAAACCGAACCAGTTCGGGGAACTAGCCACCAAGGGCAGGTAAGGGTGAAGCAGGGGTTATTCCCCCCAGCAATTATTTTAGAGAAAGGTGATTTTTAAATTTTTTTCAATTTTCTTTTTTTTTTCAAGTGTGTATGAAACGCAAAAAACGCAAAACGCAAAAGACTCTCAGAAAAGCCGTGAAAAATTCCCATACAGAAATTATAAAATTTGGCCATCAAAAACCCCTTAAAAACGGTTTCCGATATCCATTCTTTACAATAGCATAAGCCCTCTTTTCTATTTCTAAGGCATTAACATTTCTGATTTCAAAAACACTAATTATATGACACAAAATGATGCAACTCATACAAGTACAAACGAAAAAGCAATAATACAAAAGTAACTACCAAACAAACTGCATATACTCTCTAAATTCCAAAGAGTGAAAATTCACTCTATTTGAGTGAACATTCAATCCTTCCGGTTGAAATTAAAGACCAGATGAATTGGAGGGAAATTTCTTCATTCCAAAAGATTGAAATTTCACTCTATTTTCCACTGAAAGGGGCTAATTTCATCCTTTTTCAGTCTAAATTCAGAGTGATTTTCACTCTAAAACGTCTTGTCCCTTATTTCACTCTTTAAGATTTAGAGAGTACCCACCAACAAGCAAGTCACTAAGCAACAGCTCGTTATGTTTAGACGGAAAAGGAATTAAGCGTTCAGTAAAAATGCTGACCTTATAGCTCGTAGGGCATTTCTTACTGGTCCGGATTTTCTGGCATGCGCTTTGGAGACTAGTCGTTTTTGTGTAGGGTCTAATTGAACAAGAGTACCCGAGTTTAGCGATTTTTCTTCAGTGAAGACCTGGAAAAGTTAAGAAAAAGTACATATTGTTATTCCAGGGTGTTTGTTTTGCAAGTGCCGTTTTTCCCAACAAAAAATGATCTTATTTATTCATTTGTTTTCAAAATCTATTTTACTTCCCGTTGAAAAGAACCCACGCAGCTATGCTTTACACAGTTGTCTCATTTCACAATTTGATCATCCCACACCACCTGTACACAAATCCAGCGAAGTGTTCATTCCCAAGGGCATGGCAAAAAGCATTGTGTTGGGCTCACTCGTTGCCCAGCGCCCAAAGAGGGCGCTGGGAAGGGCTAACGGCCTTGCACAGCTTTTAGTGAAGTAAATACGTCACAAGGGGTATACGTCACAGTTAACGAGGGGCAGAGCATTGTGGGTAAATTTTGCCAGGCGCACCAGCTCGCTCAATGTGTGCGTTACACAAGTGGTAAAAAACGAAGAAAAATTGGGTCACTTAGGAAATAAACTAAGGGCTGCGGCTACCATAGGTATGAGTAACTTCATGAGGATATCGACAGAAGGCCTTAAAACGTTGAATTAATTGGTTATCAATTCGATACTTTTCTTTTTCTTCCTCACTGCTGAAAATATTCTCACTACACTTTATTCGTTCATCCAAAATTGATCAAGATAACCAATGATTTGAAATAACGGGCCTGTTGCCAACAGACACGTGATCGGTGATAGGCCTACTAAGTCAGAAGATAAATTGCCACACTGTGATTGTTATTATATAGGCCGTGTTGCTATAATATAGCCGACAATTTGCCCCTGCCAAATGCATTGCACCAAAAAATTTAAATAACCTTCGCTAACAGGAAGTGATAACCTCGCGGTCGTAGGTCTTGCACAATATATAGCCAATCTAAATGCAAAGCCATCAGCCCCTAATTCCCAGCGCCCTGTTGGATGACGAGCGAACGCTGGTCGTTTTTCCAACTACTGTTCAAACTCTCACGGGCCATGCAGGATTCTGGGTCGTCATGCTTATGATGGTTAATTAAGAGTTCTTCTTTTCCGGGAAGTGCTGATTCGGGGGAAAACTTGTGTATTGCAGTACCCAACAAACAGCCTACACGTAAATATGCTGGCGCCTGCGTCAAATGCTTTATTTTCAAGTGTATAAGAAATTTTTAAGAATGTTGCAATATTTTTGTATTAGTTCCTTGAGAAGACTCGAGCAAAAGACAAGACTTTTTCTCCATGTGAGTATTACCTGCAAAGGGAGGCATTCCTCTCCTTTCTCTCTCAGCACTAGAACCGGTGTGTAAGATGGCCTCTCACCAAATATCTCATGGATCAGGCCCACGGCCAATCTCCTCCATATATCAGGGTGGTTCAAAAGATTTCCACCCCGCTCTGATTTCTTTTTGACTGACATGACAGTCTTGCTGTTGGTGTCAAAGAGAAATGGCAGCCACCGACTAAAACCAGGCTTTCCCAGATTCTGATGTTTTTCCATGGGTCGTAAGTTGACGTCAAGGTGCAATCTCTGTGACGTCACTGATGACATCTTGTAATTACCGCGCGTGTGCGTCGTGTGGAAGCGATGCATAAAGGCGCCGTTCCATAAATTAATTATGGTTGCACTACACCAAATACGCGCCCATAAAAAACACAGTGCAAAATCAGACCGAAATAGCGCCGCCTGTTGAATGTCGGGAAGAGGTTAGCCTATGTTTTTTCATTGGAAATGCAAGATCATGGCCAAAAGATTACTTTTCGTTTTAATTCTATGGGGGTTAGCCACAAAAACTTCTTTAATTCGCCTTTCCCCGAAGATACCCCCAAACAGTAGTAAAACTATGCGCTCAGCTCTGAATATTCGTTTAACCCACAATCTGTTTAGGTATTTAAATTGAAATTCATGTAGAAATGCGTTATACTTCTGCCATCTTTACAGAGTGGTCTCTACTGGAGAGTGGTTTTACCCTACAAAGCCTGTGTGTTACATGATAAAAGCGCCGACTCACTGTGCAAAAGGAAGGCCTGCCGGGTGCACAAAACTATGGAAAACTTAGTTGTACAGGTGTTTGTGACGTATCTGCGTCTTTCTCAAACTATGCGTCAACGAAGCCGATACGACAAAAAGCTAAACACGCCACCAGTAAAATGGGCGTATCGTTTTGCTCCGTAAGCACGCACACTGAACATTTATTTATTCCATCATGATGCTCCGTCGTGCTTTGCAACATTTACATGTAGGACATTAAAAACTAGAAATACTAAGATAATAAAGTTGTAAAATTACACCAATTAATAAATACAACGTTGTTCAGTTTTAAATTACATGAAACGGGTGTACTTAATTAAGAAAATAAAAAATTTCTGAAATACTAAAGGCCAATAAAGCAATAGTTCAAAAAGTTATTAAATACAGAAAAAAAAATCACCGATGTGAGCTAAGGATGAATTTTACTGCGGCCTTGTAATGAGTTGTACTACAAAAAACACGCACTTGCGAATATGGTGCACTCGCGTATTGCGTTAATAACAGTGCATAGACAGGGTACACGAGCAAGCTCGCGGTTATTTTTGCAACTTTTGTACCATACTAAGAATACTGTGTAAACTATATTGGCCTACGTTGCGTTGGTGTGAGGGTAAGTCCTAGTAAAATAATCAAAATATTGTTTGCACAGTATTCATTTTTTTGTTTGCTTGCTCATTTGCTACATTCTGTAGCCAGCCAAATTTAGATACGACGAATATTTTGTTTTGGTTGAATAATATCCCCCTTTCGAGGTAACAACCACGAAATAGCCAACAGATACCCTGACACAGGTTAATCCGTATACCGAGCCTTATCATCGACGGTAGTACAAAGTACATCAAGCCACTCCCAACGGCACTCGGTCGGTGCGCACAAAACGGACTTCGGGCCCAGCAATCGAACAGAGTAACAAAACCGTAATCGACTAGATTCACAGCGACCTTATTTTAAAACCAGTAGGCTACGTTTCGCTGAGTCGCTTCGCGCAGCGTTGAACTGCGTGCGCCAACTTCATTCCGTTTTGGAATATCAAGGAATGGACTTTTTGTTCGCATGAGCAGAATATTTGCCTGTTAGAGGATTCAAACAAAGGTGGTTAGGCCGATATCGAGGTCAGGTCTAAATGCGAAAATTGACAGGATGAAGTCCTTCGTGCTGGTTTTAATGGTAACGGTTTTTTCATGCCAGAGAGCATGTGGACAGGGTGAGTTTACAACCAACATCTTCATTATAATCATTTTTCCACAGGTGTTCTCCCCTTACATTTATTTTAGGGTTAAATAGGTATCGTTGACTTCACTGATAATAACATTTTACTGGTAAACATTTACTGGTAGAAATATCGTTCGAGTTGATCGCGGTGCTCCTAACACAGTTCTGCTAGAACAGAGTGCATGTAATTAGTATTATGAATTATACGCCACTATACTAGCGCAATAGCCTTAATGGGCAGTGCACAGATCGAAGGCCATCTCCGATAAATACACTCCAAAGGTTGAAACCGCGAAGCAGGCTTTACTGCAGACAACACGTCTAGTCTCAAAGGGGCCAATATCAATTTCTGTTCCGAGTCCAAATTACCCCCGAATATGCAGTAGGTTGTGTTTCATTCTAAACTATATACACTAATCTTCACTTGAATCAAACATTTCATTCAGAGACTACGGCAATGTTCAAGTTACAGGTCACCAGATAACTAGGACTGGAAATGTAGATACCAAAACAGGATGCGGCGTATACCATCCAAGCAAGAAATAATTATGTAAAGCTTTGTCTACTACTTCACTGGAAACCAGTAATCCCCCGTAACCACTACTGCATTCGTTTGAAATTAGTCAGCACATTAATCTACACAGCATGATTGAAACTGCTTGCGAAGGCCATCGAGGGTATTTCAATACAATTTACGGGGGAGGGAGTGGGGGCTTGGGGGCTCATGCATCAAGAATAATTTAGTTCCCTCACCAGTGCCCACTCCTCAAGGAAGCTCACTATCCGCACCTTTTTACGCAAACTTCTGTCGGCGAGAGAGGTGGGTTAGGGGGCTGGATATTGGGGCATGACCGGTGGGGGGGGGACTAAAACCATTTGACGTTGTCATCGATGTCCCTCAAACACCACCCCCAATAAAATTGGGGTTTTGTAGGAGCCATGCATTTTTTCATGTTAGTTTTGTTCCCTGTAGGACCTGTTATTGTTTTTTCCCCATTTTGTACATGAAACCTAATAATATGAGCCAAATGCAGGACGTATGAACTGAATGTATAATTACCTGCTGAAATCGTTCCAAATATAAATGGCTGACAGTAATTTGGCTTGATGAAAAGTCATCCAAATTACGCAAAGTATCTTAATGATAGTTATCAGCACGGTAATCTTGTCCTGTAATCCGTCCGACTATCTTCTTAAAAACAAACACGTAATCTAACGCTGATGAGTTTCCATTTTACTGCTTCTGTCCCGTAATTGACTGTATAGGGGTGATTATGATCAGTTTCATTTTTGCTTGCCAAAAGAAACAACTAGGCAGGTGATTGCAACACGGCCCATCCTCCTGTCTAAAAACAGGGGGAATCCTCCCCGGATTCATGCCGCGCAAAAATTCCTACTCAAATCAGCATCGATGAAATCGCCTGCCACAGCAGACAATTCTCGAAGAGTAGAACCGTCACCCAGTGCCTCTGCAAACTAAACTTATGTAAGAGTGTCGCTCTTTTGTGTTTTCGCTCGTTAAAATTCCAGTACTCAGTAGCCTCTACTTCCCCTTTCTCCTTCTTTAAAAAAACATAAATTTGGTACGAGTATGTTGTTGTTTTTCAAACAGGACGGGGCTTTGACAAGCATCGCCGAATATCAGGGAACGCGTTCTTAATTAATCCGTAAAAAATAAACCACCGCGCAAACAAGTCGAATGAAGAATGTCATGTTGTGAATATGTAAGAGCAAAACCCGTCACTCAAATTTGAATATATCGTAATGTTACAGTAACTTTAAAACTCCATGATGCGAATGACGCACATTGTGATGTGTGTTTTATTGAGCGGTCAGGACAGTTTTGTAGAACTGCATAAACGCTTGCTTGGTTTATTATTCTTCACTGCATCAGATAAGTGATTTCTGAAGCCTATGCATCAATTTCAGCTTTCGCCGCTGCAAGGAATTCAGGATTGTTTCCAATGGGCCAGGTCGGTTTTTCGTAAAGGTACCTTTTGTCGGGAACAAAACATGCCCGTGAGCCGCCCTATGGAGACAGTGATAGAACAGACATAATGTACGTTTTGGGCGCGTTGCGAATGATGTCGCACAGCGTCTCTTCCGCGACTGTCTGCGTCTTGACGTCTTGCGGACCGTCTGTGTTACAAACGACCATACGGAAGCCATGCTTTACGTGAGCGTTGCGTTCGGCCGTCAAAATTGCTCCGGGAGCAAATTTGCCGGATACGCAACGCTTGGCGCAAGTGTTGACGTGCATGTGGAAAGGCGCCTTATTGCGCGCGCTGCTGTTTCCAAACGACCTCTGACGTGCTTCAGTGTGGGCATGCGCTGTTGGAATACCGTGCTCTACTGGCTCGTGGCCCTTAATTAATGTCAGTTACATAAAATAGGTTCGCCAATTCATAATCCGGCTTTGTACTAAAGGCTTCGTCGTCCATGTTTGCATTCTGATAAAAAATTCAGTGCGAATTTGATAACTACATTTGCGCATCGTCATTAGCGTGCAACGTCTGTTTGAGCAAAGGTCAATTTTCATTATTTACGACCATTCCAACCAGAGCCCGTCCCCTGCTCCGTAGACGATGGGTGTTCAAACAGTGCCCAAGGATAGAACAAATTATCTATGCATAACACTTTGACATGGGCGTAACGGGCATGTGAGTTGACACTTTTGCCCTCGGTATGTTCTTATTCGTCGGTTTTAAGGACAAATCTGTTCTTTAAAATGACCGAAAAGTAGACTTTTAATATAAAAATCAGCTTTAAGGCTAGTTCATACTCGGCGTGAAAAAGCGAAGATGAGCGTGTTTTTGTAACGACAGATCAAACGTTTGCACTGCGAATTCACATAGGGTGTATTCGATTAGCTTCTCTGAACACACCAGTGTTACACGCAAGGGAAGCCTCGAAATGAGGCTAATCGAATGCTGCAGTGTATTCGCCAAGGCTTCCTAGGAAAAAGGTCAAGTCCTCGCCACGTTCCATCATGTCCATACTCGAACAGTCCATCCGTGACGTCATTACATTCGGTAGCCTCCAGAGACCTGCTCGCCAGCCGGGGTAGTGGTATCTGACACCAGGGCAGGCACGAGGATCACGTGATAGCTAAACGAACGCTCTCGAGTAAATTTGACTTACACGTATATAATCATATGAACTTGCAGTCCGCAAAATTCGGTTGGTTAATACAGTAGATTGTGCCATTCTGAGAAAACAGAGAAAACGAGGGGAACTCACCTTGTTATGTGTTCATAGTGGATAAACCCTTGTGCATGCCAAACAATGACGCAATCTACATTCAGAATTCACATCATGGCATATAAACAGAAAAAACAATCTTTTTTAAGCTTGTTATAGTTGAGCTCTGACAACTGACACTTCATTCGATTTGGATGCTTCCATATTTATTTCAACAGACGAAATCAGAGAAAATATTTTTCCCAAAAGGTGCTCTTTAATTGTACTGTAATTGTGTATGAATTTTAAAATTTGATCTGGTCTACAGTTCCCGGGTTGTCATGTATGGTGGCGGACAAAAAAGGATGAGAAATAGGTGTTGGTGGTTGGGTGGCCACTGGCAATGTGGGCGTGGCCGTAGGAATACGGGGTATTGGGCTGAGTAGTACCACACCCCTTGATCATGTGTTCTCTTTTCACAGCTGCAACAGCCGCACCAAAGAAGTCATTTCTCCCACCGCCTCCACCACCTCCGCCAAATAACCCGCCCAGCTTCCGGGATAGTAAGGACGGCGATACGACCATTGCTCCAACTGTAGACCTGGGCGATCCAATCCAAGAGCTCATTGACGAAGGGGGAGTTGAACTGATAATCGATATTGAATTTTCGTCGGTATGAGGTTTTCAAGTAATGTTTTATTTATTAACAACTTCTCTTACCAGTATTGTTATTGGGTTTGAAGTACCGGTATTTATTTTGCAAGTTTAATTTTTAAAAATATCATTTGTTACCTTTCCAGGTGTTTTTCTATACTTAGCAACCCTTGTTTCTCTAAGGAACATATCCAGGCCTGTGTTTGCCCGAGGGGGTCTTGTTATTTTGTTTGTCTGTCAATTTTTGTTTTTTTCTGGAAAGTATTTTGGAACATAGAAGCAACTCCATAAGACAAGGTGTGAACAGTAGACGAACTTCGAGCCTCTCAACAGGCTTGTAAAATATATTTCTCAACAAAGAAATTAACGGCATTGTGCCTCCCCCAAAAAAAAAAAAATACGAAAGGGATTTGCAATGCCTTGAATGACTCTAATAACTTTGGAAGTATAACCACTATGAGGTCATCAGTCCCAGATGTCTCTTCAAATTTCACTTGCTGGTTTTCATGCTTTAATTTCTTTGACTTTGGTTTTTTAAATATACATTTCTGCTGTCTTATTTTCTTGCGGTGGGCCAACAGTTTGGAGCGGATAGCGAGGCAATGTTTAAAACAACAATGAGCGAAGCCAGCAACAGATACTGCAAAACCAAAGGTAATTGCGACGGAAGCTACAAGGACACAAGGTAAGTTTACACACAAATTCCCTCGTCTCTCTCTTTCTATGGTGTTTCGGTAAAAGGCAATTTGCCCTTTTTAAGATTTAGAAAGGCAGTTGGCGGTTGGAGTTAAAATGAATTTTCGGGACAGTGGTACTGTTTCTATGGCAGAGTTAAATTCCTTTGGAGAATTTGCCTGTGATAAATATGCATTTCTAATGTTGTACCCCTGATGTTGCCGTATACAACGTCTGATGTTGCAATACAACACCCAAGTTGTAATTTGACCCCTGTTGCTTCGCATGTTAATCCACAGGCCAAGCGACGTCATGGTCTACGGCAAAAAGGCAGCTACTAAGCCGAGGAGAACACTTGTGTCTTTCTACATTAAAAGTCCGTATTCCACGACCCAACTGACAATGACTAGCGCCCAGCTGCAAAACATGTTTACTGCCGAGAGGAAGGCCATTGAAAGTTCCCTCGGATACAGGTAAACAAAATCTGAATTACTCGGGCAATATTACAGACACCATTTTTTTTACATGTTAACTGTCACGTGTCTGTGAATGTGCGCAACTACCACTTGCGCACACTGAGCATTTTTACATTGTGCTTGCATATATGGAGACGTCCTCAGAGCTGCTTAATGTGACGCCTTAGGGTTTTTGAAGAGAGATGAATCCTTCGGAAATTCTGAAATCACACTGGCTGTTATGAATAAAGGCAAATTGGCCTACATCTCTGTTACTATTTCGTACACAAATGGTTATGCCTAAGTGCAAGTGTGCAGCGCAACCGGGCTACCCCCCCCCATTCGACAAGGTTCGGGTTACTCAAACGAAACTGTGAGAAGGTAAAAGATGGAACATGACGGAGTGTCAATTTCTGGTTACCTTCCTGTTGATCGTTTCTAATTGCAGGCTTGATTTGGGCGATCTCGAGTTCGAACCATTCTCGAATGGCCTTCTCCTGGATTCCTGGATAATTGCATTGATATGTGTAGTTGGTTTGTTCATAATAGTCTTCACGTTTGTTGGCTGTGTACACTACCGGAACAAGAAAACGTAAGTTTTTTTCCCTCCCTAGCATTTTGAATTCTCCATATTCTTCTTAAGGGTTCAGGTAGAAGCAATCATCTTACAAAACAAACAGATTAAACACTCAGCAAACAAAAACAAACCAACAGAAACAGAAGTATAAAATTCAGAAATTTTCTATTCAGTTTTACGGTGCTTCCCTACAGTGACCCGCACTCTGAGTTGTGCCGATCAACTTTTCGCTAATCATCGATAACAGATCAAAATGTATTGGGAAATACTGGACATATAGACATCCTAGGTAAAAAGGTGCCCCTTTGTTGTTTCACTTTCCTTTCAGAGACACAAAGATGACCTTTGAAGATTTGGAGATGAATAATATGGAGAATACGGAGGAGAAGAACAAAGTTTTGCCGCCTGGACCAGCTGTTCCCGCCAGTTCCTTGAAGAAGCCCAAAGTGGACGTCAGCACCAACGTCTACCAGGCCGATATCCTGTCCGAGACCAAGACTGTCTTCGTGAATCCCTCCATGGTAAAAAAGCTCGCAGACACTGACCACGAACTTTATGCCGTGGTCCACAAGGAGGTATAGCCAATAGCTCTTGTTGGTAATTCGTTCATCAACGGAGGCTGAATTCATTTTGCTGATATCGCGACAGCTATCATAGTGCACTTCACGTACCTCCTGACCTCCATATCATGGTGTGATTTTGCTTTTCATACTGCAAATACATGTACGTACTTAAATTGGCAATTGTGTTACTCAGCAAAATATTGAACAACAATTTGCAAGTACCTTAATACCTTCCTGGTATTAAGGTCACTATTAATGTCGATGTGATAAGTGCATGTGAAAAAAATTGTTCTTTGGGCTTCACTAACTTCTGCAGCAGTTATAACACGTCTACTCAACTCAGTTCAACGTTCAATCATTTCACGATCTTCTATTCTCGTTTTATTTTCAATCATGCATTCCCCTGCCTCAAATTGATAGTTTCAAAACGGCTCGATATTGGGATAATTCTCTACAAAATCCCAGTGGTCCCTTCATTCAGGCTTTATTCTCGTGACCATCCACGGCTTCCACTTGCAGAATTCATAGCGGAGAAACCGATGTCCCAGCCTCTCTAAATTTGAAACATCTGGCGACATTGCTCGCATTTGTCATCTGAACAATTGGAACCACTGCTCATTTAAAAGACCTTGAGACTTACTCGGAACTGCTCAGGCATTACACAAATTTCCGAAATTCCTGAAGAAGTGCATTGTATTATTGTCAACAGGAGAAGCAAGAAGATAGCTCACCAAATGATGCGGAACCGTGTGGCTCCCTGAACGCCATTGTTGTGACTGCTGACGTGTCTTCATCTAACGAAGGCAGCTCCCATTCCAGTGACTTAGCACCGCCGGACTACGAACAGGCTACCAGTAAGATAATTCAGTCCCTGTCCTTGACAAGAAAGAGGATCTTTTTATCTCTTCAAATGTCATGCTCAGAGACGGACTGCCTCTCAGTGAAAGCTAGTCTTATGTTTCTGCACTGTCATTGAACTGTTCCGAAGCTCGCAAGTTATTGCACAATGGCCATAATACAAGACGTGAAGGCAAGAAACCTCCAGTCGATTCAGGAAAAATTCAAAGCACTTTCGTTTTACCCATAGGCCTTTCTCTTACTCTAAAAGATTCAACCCCATTTATCGATGGTTAAATACATAGGGGCAGAGTCGGGATTTTTTGCTGGGGGTGGAATTATTTCGCTTAGTGGGATACTGTATTTGTTGCCAGTGTTGAAGCCATTTAATCTCTTTGTTTTGTCTGTCACCGAGCACGCAAACAGGACCCCTACAGGGCTAATGCGTTTTAGGGGGGCTTGCAACCTTGAGAGATAAAAAGTAAAATGAACAAATTAAATTGCACAGAACAGGGATGTGACCCCCATCCCCAACCCACACAAGATACAACATTTGTCACAGAGGAGGAAAACTATTCAAATAAATCTAATTAAATCTACAGAATGTACATATAAGTTTCCACACCTTAGATTAATGCGTGGAGCTGCTTAAGTTTATGGTACGACTGTAACACTCATCTTTGCATAGAGTGCCGTTATTTCCCTTGCATCCACCTTGTTTCCCTTGAAACAGAAGAAGATGCCAAAGTGATAGAGGGTCCTGGTGCCGAGGCTGCTGGCACTTCGGTTGAGGTTTCCCCGGACGCTGTGGAGGACCTGCCCCCTCCCCCTCCTCCTACAGCCGAAGCGTCCGAGTCGGCATCCAGTGCCTCGGAGGACCTCCCGCCTCCCCCGCCACCACAGGAGGAGCCAGCGGCGTCATCAGGAGCCTCATCCAGGAGAGAGTCTTCTTCCTCCTCGAACCAGTCGGAGGAAGACGCCGGTCCACCGAGGAAAGATTCCGATGCTGCCACAACTCCTCCGAGGAAAGATTCCATTGCCTCCTCGACCCACTCATCTGCCAAGGGCTCCTCCTCGGCAGGAAAAGAAGAAGCCGAGGTAGTAGGGGAGTTGGAAAACCTCATCGCCGATCAGTCAAAGTGAGTCCATCATTCCTCTTTTAAACCTAAGAGTCAGGCAGTATCACACCTGATGACATTTCTGTATTGGGTGGTTGTACATCACCTATCACTGGCGTGAAATGCGATGGTCACCTCGAAAAAACCACAAACAAGGAGAAAGAATAACTAACGTTCCTTACGTAACAACTAGTCATCAACCCTTTCGCGAACTGCTAACATAGGATACTGCAGTTAAGTTCATTTCCCCGCATCATAAACATAAACGTATAGATGTCAACATTTTAAATAAAAAACAGAGCAAAAAAAAAAAAAAAACCCACAGGTGACAGATGGCAGACATCAGGCCAAGGGTACCAGTATTTATAGTTTAGTAAACGGGTAAATAGCAAAACGCTTAATATTATTAGTTGGTAGGCATTGACAGCACGCACGTTGAAACCTCTTTCATTCATTATTAAATTTGTTTGGGGGGATGGGGGAATCGAAAAATGAAAAAATGTCTGGATTTTCGGAACTTGCAGTGGTATGTCCTGCCACATGTCATGTGAAATAGAAACAAACTTCCTCTTCAATTTGTGAAAAGCACGAAAGCTGACAAACTGAACTGTTGTCCCAAAATCCCTTTCCTGCTGACAATTTCATTTGATCCACTTTTCATGACACACAGGGAGATAGCAGAGGACCAGGGACTTGACAACCGTGGTTTTGAGACCACTGTGAACGAAGAAGGTGAACCAATGACAGAGCTGTGAATTTGTGCATAGTTTAGATTGCCCTGATGATGTCCTCTTCCCCCAATAATACAAATTTGAAATCCCATTGTTTCATCCCACTAGAGAGTTCCGATATTGTGGCTGAATGACGTCACCGTTGTTTAACATGAGAATAACAGAGTCTTTGTCCCTCAGTGTAAGCCACAAGCGATAAATACATGACATTGATGTGACATAGACATTCCTGTGTGTTCAACCACTCACTGTTCGTAATCGAAGTACTTGGGACAGTATTCGACTGCCGCACTAGATGATGACTCATTTATTTGGAAAGTATAGTTTTAGTTGATTTCTTTACTTGAGGGCCGGCCCACATGTGTAGTAATGAATTTCAGGTGTTTCATTTCTAAGGTCCCAATCCATTGACCCTTGGTACATGTAGAGCCATACATGAGGAGCACGTCTTCTCTTTCTGTCGCACCTCAAGTACTGGATTTTCGTTTTATACAAAGTTACAAGAAAGTCTTTTAACAGTGTTTTTTAGAAACCATTAAACAATAGTCACTAAATATTATAGTAACCCTATGAAAAATGGTCTTGAGATGAAGAACCTTAATTTGACGCCTTGATGGATTCCTTAAATATACGAGGTAACCGTTATTTTAGGCGGCTAAACCATGAAAACATGAAACCATGAAACAGGCCCTAGATTCAGCAGACCAAATTACGCTTTAATTACACTCTTAAATTCTCGAATCCAATTGTGGCTTTCGGTGGTTTATAAAACAGTAGGGTGGGGCCACCGTAGAATTATACTCCTGAGAAGTTTGGACAAAAAAAGTAAACTTGAATCAAGTCAGACTTAAATGTTGCTCAATGATAAATGTCAGCCATCCCTTCACATACACAGTACACGGTCGTTGCTCGCATAACTTTTTTTAAGGCGCCCTCATTTGATAGCTTTTCAGCGATATCCTGCGTCAACGTATGTCATTCGTCACCAGTCAGAAGGTCAGACTTGACAGATGAGCCAACCGTTCTCCATCGGTGATATGTAGTTATTCATAATTGCATATGAACGACATGATCTTGCATGTATACGGAATTTCCACCAATTAAAATAGTCAGACTTGGAATTTCCGCCAATCAAAGTAGTGAGATTTGTCGACTCGTTCATAATAAAGAATATCTGATGTAAAAAGAAGTCCAGCAATTTGATTGGCTGCTAGTACTTTTGGTAGATGAGCCCAATTGTTGTGTACACCGTACACGGTTGGCAGATTCGTCAAGTTGGAATTTCTGGACTCATAGTAATAAGTTGACACAAGAAACAGGTAACGCCGCCCGGCCCCGATATGTATCGAGGTCGTTGTCGTAATCGGTTAACCCATGAAAAGTTAAACGTAACAATTAGACGAGAACATAAGTTTTAATTTGATTTGTGTCTCAAGCGCCCCCCACCCAATTTTTTGTCCATGGCAATTTAGTTTACTGCCATGGTCCACAAATTCTTATCGCAGAAGCCAGCCAGATGCGCAAGACATTTCCGCCCTCGGCGATTCCTCCTTCAAAGCCCACCCCTTGGCAAGCTGCCAAGGTGTGCGCATCTTCCGTATGGCCGGCTCATGTGAAATACAGTACACTATAAAGTTGCTCTGCCGTATGCATTCTTTGGAGGCATGCGGAACAAAACGTTTTATTTAACTCAGTTATGAAGGACTGCACTGTGTTTTCACGTAGGCTGTTCTGTAATTTTGCAAACAGGCTTTTGAGTGCGTGTAATACAATCGGTGGAAATGTTGAACCTGATACTGTATCATTTGGTTGAGTATTTGTTTATTCAGGTATTCGTCACAGCTCGAGAAAATTTGTGGGTATGGTTCTGCTAAACAAGAAGTGAAAGTTTATGGGCGGCCAAAAAGGCCAAAATTAATTTTAACAAAAATAAACAATTACGAACAAACAGCATTTTCTTATTAAAAAATGAAATAATAAAAGACAAAACAAGCACCCAAAGCCATTTACGAAACAAATCATAAAAAAATTGATAACAAACATGAAAAGTAATATGTCACTAAAATTTATTTTACCAAAAATAAACAATTACGGGCGAATAACATCTTCCTATCAAAATGTAAATAGTAAAACACAAAACATTCCCAAAAGAAATTATTTAAGAATAAATAACCAACATTTGAAAACAATATGCCTCCAAAAATTCCTAAAATGACAACAGTAAAACAAATACGAAAAATTGATATATATAAAAAAAAAAAAAATAACAAATTGTCGAAACCAAAGGTCGTCATTAGAAAAACTCTTAAACAAATTTGGTTTAATTCTCCAACTTTACTTCTCCTTTTGGAAACAATCGTCCGTATATGTTAACTAAAAACAAAGGGCAATTAGCTGATGTCAAAATTATTGCCAAATAATATTGACCAACAAGATCGACAGACCGCTTCAAGATCGTGCGATCGTGGACATCGCCTAATCGCAACCAACACATCGTTGCGCATGGCATAGGACGCCCCCAACGATGGAACCAAGTTAGTTTGTTTGAGAACTTGTCTATTGACTTGCGTTGATAAGACTTGCAACCCTTTTGGCCGCCCATAGATCAGGCGGCCAAAAGGGTCAAAATCGGCCCAAAGGGTCAAAATTAATTTTACAAAAAATAAAGCATTACACGATGGAATCAAATTTGTTTAGGAATTTTCTAATGATTTGCGTTTAGCTTCCTTGTTAGAATTGAAGTGATCTGTTGGCGAACTTGGGTTTCGACAATTTGTTTTCTTTTTTATCAATTATTTCCTATTTTGATTTACTGTTGTCATTTGAGGAACTAATTTGGGGCTTTTTTCAAAGTGTTGGCTACTTATTTTTAAATAATTTCCTTTGTGAGTTTTTGTGTGTTTGTTTTGTGTTTTTACATGTTTTAAATATTGTTTGCCCATAAATTGTTTATTTTTGGTGAAATTAATTCTAGTATCATATCACTTTTGGTTTTGTTATAATTTTTTGTAATAATTTGTTTCGTAAATGGTTTTTGGTGTTTGTTTTCCGTTTTACTATTTAAGTTTTTATGAGAAAATGCTGTTTGCTAGTAATTGTTTATTTTTGTTAAAATTAATTTTGACCTTTTTGGCCGCCCATAAACGTTGCACTGGAAAAACTGGAATGTTATCTAACGTATTAATACAAAGCGGACATTTTCACAACATTTTCGCAAAATGTCCTCAAAGACACATCCACGCTAACTTCTGAGAAGCGCACTGCGCGCACTGAGTGACATAAATGGATGGGCTTTTGAATAAAGAGGAAATATCAACGATGGACAAATATTTGCAGAAAGTTTTGTTCCGAATTTTCAACATTCATGCACTTGCTCGATTATAATACTATCACTGAGCTTCAACTCACGTCTGTGTTGTTAGAATTTGTAACTTCTTCGGAATTCGTATTCAATTCTCTAGATAGCTATTACTAATCTATGTTTGATTTGATGCTTTGGAGTTTGAATCGTTCATCATAAATGCTCCAACCACAGGCCTGACACGGTATAAAATTATGTCATGTGTCCCGTCAAGAATTTTGTTTTCCATTCTTGTTTTTTTGGGTCGAATGCACTGATGAGTTGTTTATAATGAAAGATCAAATGTACTGAGGAAGCGTGCACGCGAGCAGACAACGAAATGAGAGGATTCTACAAAAAAATTACTCGATTTGCCGATCCGAGTAGACGCTGCCTGTCCTGGTTTTTCAAGAGTTCAACTCTTGATATGTGCATCGTAATCTTGCAATTTCATACGCAGCTCCCCAAGCTAAGACTTACACCTTCCAACGGAAGTGAAAGACTTCAGTTTTCAATTATATGCCACCAACTATGGCGTTCAGGAAACCCTATCAAATCTGTCTTGCACGAAATGCCAGAAAATGATGTGCCTATTGAAAGGGAGGTGCTTAATGGTTTTGTTACAATATTAATGCGCGCGCATTAATTTAAATTGATCAAGGAAGAGCAGCCAGTGAGATTTGTATGTAGGCCAATTGTGAATTTTTGCTACATGATGCACTATTGTAGCGTTTTAATCGCTCAGTCTTTGCAGAGCGAAAATCTGTGCGGTACAACTTGGTTATTAATGGTTTTGTTATCTACGTAAATATAAACGACCCGCAGCAATTC